CCTTATTAGACACCTACAAGAAAGTCAAGTCCAGTGACACCGACACCTCAGCAAACGTAGACCACCTTTACAAAGAGAATCCATTTGAACTGTCTTGGCGGGAAAAGGTAGTGGCTGCATGGCAGATACTGCCCTGTATGGCCGCCCTTTGCGCTGCTTACATATCGCAATATATCACAATACAAGCGGTATTCACGACGATCGCGTTTGGTAACGCGCCTTTCGCACCAAGAGACCATTATGTGTATTATGTACTTCTCAATGGTATCGGCGAGTTCTTACTGCGTTCCTATTTAAGCATAGTAGCTTGGGCCCGACCCGCGCTGGTGCCTCGCCTTGTCATAAAACGTACGTGGATTTTTTCGGTTTTGTTGCTCGCTGTTATGGCCTTTTCCATCAGCGCTTCCTATTACAGGCTTTTCCATAACGTCTGGTCAGTTTTGTTTTTGTGCTTTGTCATTGGTGCGTTGTCTGGTGTCGTTTTTTCTAATACGGTTTGCGCGGTACCGCTTATAGTAGAGCCAAAATACAAGGAGTTCTGCATGGGACTGGTAACCATCGGTGAGTCCGCTGGAGTTCTGATTGCAAGTTTTGTTGGTCTTGCCGTAGAGCCAGCTTTAAGAAAACACTGTTCACATATCGCCAGTCATCCTTCACTTTGTTTTACCAGACACAAATCGTACAAGTGGAGTTCGTCCGTTTGTTCTGCTAAAGCATAAAATTACTTTGACTTGTTTAACATTGGGTTTGTTAATGGTTTAGGTTTTGTTTTCTTATTGCAGACCATGTAAATGTTACCCCAGAGAATTGTTTCTTTCATTGCCCGTGTATCTACGTGAATTGTTTCTTTGTATCCACGTGCATCCATGTGCATATGCTTGCGTAACTAATAAAAAGTCTCTTGAGAACATCACGTGGCCTGAATTGTGAAAACAAAACACACAAGCTAAAAAGGTCTATTCTGGATTCCACGCTGTGGATTCCGGATTGACGGTGCTGGATTCCAGATTTCTATTCAGTGGAACTTGGCCTCCAGATTCCAATCGTTTTAGGGGGGTTCCGGATTCCTACAGCTGAATTCCGGATTCCAAAGCCCAGCATTCCTATTTTACGAGAAAAAGTTTCTCAAATTTCGGCAATTTTCCGGATTCCAGAATCCTGATTACCTACACGGGGCAGATTTATGGTCTTTCCATGAAGAAACTAAAACTCAGGAGTAGTACTGCGAAAATTCTCGTTCAGTTACCTTAAGCATAACAGGTAACAAACTTATAACGAAGGTTATGTTCCTGATATATTTATTTTTATTTTTGACCGAAATGAGCAGAATTGAGTGACATAGTACATTCACAAAATCGGGAAAATGTTATGATAAATTATACCTGTCTATTGAGTGGACATCGTATGTATTAAAAAGTGCGAGTAGACAAAATCGGACATCCGAGAAGTCAACACCTAAATAAGAGGGGGGATGTAATTGGGATGTAGTTAGGATGGGTTTCTCAAAGTAATCTCGAAGCTCTTAGACTTCACAGGATGGTTTGGGAAAATATTAGCGAACAGCTTGAAATAAAAGAGCTGCGAAATATAGAGGTTCAATGAACACAGAGGTTTTAAAGAGCCGTGAGTGGGTAGTTTTTCTCGTGAAGAGCGGTTAGAAAAAGCTTACAATTGTTGGTGAACGTAATAAAAGGTTCTCAGAAATGTCACTGGTTGCGTTATTTGTTTGTTTGTTTTTTCATCTTGTTCTGGAGCAAAAGCTACAAAGAATCACCGATAAAGCAACAATATGCGTGCAATATGCGTATTAAAAACCCCTCTTTGATCCCGGAAACCATGAAATTGGTAGTGCACTGCAGGCCCTATGCTCTGGGGTCGAATCTCGCTCATGCTAACTTGATTTTTTTTCCTGTAAAATTGAAGAGAGATTTACACTTTGACAACATTTGTAGGGCAGAAATTAAGCCTCTGAGTGAAGAAACTTAGAAATTTTATGCAAGCGTAAGTGGGAGGGCCTTTTTAGCCTGTACACAGACGTTGTTTTATTTTTCTTTTCGTTCTTTTCGAAAACATCGGTGAGCGCGCGAGAAAGAAAATCTATTTTTTTCTTCCCCCACCCCTACCCCCCTGCACTGATGGTCAATAAATCCACCACGGTTTTTATTTTTTTATCACGCGCGCTCGACGACCTTTGAAGAGAAAATAAAGGGTCTGTGAATAGGCTAGGCCGTTTGAGATATCGAAACAACGGCTTACCGAGTAGGATTAAGGCTTATTATTATTAAGGCGAGAAAAATCTATTGTTCTTTCTGGCTCATCTGCATTAGACTCGGTACGAACGGACTTCATTCCTCCTTTTCCTATGAAGGAACTCAAGCACAGCTTGAACACTTCGTTAGATTCTCTATTCTACGCTTTAACTTTCAACATCTTAACTTTTCGCAAATAAAATAAAAACAGACCAAGGCAACAAACCCGCAGTGCACGATTTGAGCGCCCTTATGAAAGTCAAAACCTCCTTTACCGTGTGTAGGAGGGAACCCTGGGAACGAGGTTGACCCTACGGAGCTCGACCGCAGGGCGGGTAGGAGATAACCCCGGGAACGACGATGCTTTACCGTTTACACCGAAACCATGAATTTTCAGGAATGGTCCAGGCATTTTGAAATTTGGCCTGTTACTAATTGCCGCTTTCTCATCATTAAACAGTTACTTTAAACCTGTTAACGAACATACTACAAGTCTCTAAAAATCCAAGCATAGGAACTTCTGCAAATGCAGGCCGCTGATAAGTTCCTCCTTTCTCAAGCATGAAAACGAGGCTCTAAACCGGAAGTTGCTATTATTGTGTTCTTCAAGCCCTTTTTTCTCATACTATCAACGAAGTGATTTAGAAACGAAGAAGTCTTGAAAATTTAAAAATATGTAGCTCTCTGAAAATACAACATTCTGTAGAGATAACATTAGTTAAGCAGTAGTCAGGAACCATTCGATTGACTATGGCTCAAAAACGTCTTTCAAAACGCTCGTATTTTGCTCCTTTAAAGAAAGAGCGGTCTCATCAGGTGTTTTGATCTCTCTAAGGATAATACAGTCTTTGAAGTGGCCTTACTGTTGCTTGAGAGTTTTCTGAAATAGAGCGCTATGTGTTCCTCAACTCTTCATTAGAGAGGTTAAGCATCACGTTTACGTCAAACGGCAAACGCGAATTTGTACCACGTGACCAAGTTTCTCCTTTACTTGTCGTTTACTGTTCATTATTTCTACAGATGAATTGGTAGTTTCACGCAATTTTTTAATCCATTAGAATTGTTTTGAGCCGTTTTTGTACGCTCATTTTCTATTTTGAGAAATTCTCAACTTGCATCTGACTTTTGCCGTATACGTGAAGGCTTTAACTCTCTCTTACCGTAGTCAAAAGACTAATAGGATTGGTGCAACAAGACCCTTTCCACTGACCGTATCGTGCAGTAGATGCACCTGAACCGATGAACAGTTCCATCGGATCAACTGCTCAGACGATAAGGCGGCCATAACAGAAAGTACCATGTACTTGATTTTCCCTGACGCTACACGCCACGTCTTGTGTAGACCTCTAATGGACATCACATCTCTACCACTGCTTGAGTTGTGTATACACTAGTCTGCAAATAAGGTCTTCATTTCGAGAGAAGCGTGCCGCAAGAAATGCTGGCAACGGATATATCATGAGTGCAAGCAATGCTCATTGAGAGATTACCTACTGTTGACTGTGTAGGTGTTTTCAAAGGTTCAATTTGGAGGCCTTAATTAACCGTCAAAGCAAAACGGACTGTAATGTTGAAGTCGCCAGTATTGAGTAAACTATATCGATAACGCTACAGAGAAAACACAATTTTCATATCCACGTGAATACTTGAAAGTTCGGTCTCTTCAAGAAAATAAATTTATTGCAGTTATTAAGAGCACTTTTTTGAAACATTTAGTTATACTCGAAGAGTCACAAAAGTACTTATTGAAATGTAGCCGAAGGAAAAAAGGCATTTAAGTCTTCGATCCGGTCTTGCAGTTAAAAGAACCCTGAGTTCTTAACCACGGCCACCACTGACTGCAAAGTCGCATTTCCATGCTAGCAAAACTCAGCCCGCGAGACAGAAATCCTAATTGTATTAAATGCCTACTGAAAAGGAGAGTCTGCAATTACTGTTCTTCTTTTTCAAGGAAATATTCAGCCACATTTGTGGTAATTCAGGATAAAGTGAATATTAAATTATCTCAAACTGATAAAAACCGGTTTCAAAACACGCACATCTCTTCATGCCACCCTCTCATGTAAGAAGAGAAGAATTGAGTTTACTGAGAACAAACTCTTCCCTCCCCCCAAATCAAAGATGGGAAAATGGCGTGTTTTACCCTTCGCGCGGCTTCATCCTTTATTTGGAGCGGGGGGGGGGGGGGGGGGGACGGGATTTTTTGTTCTTTTTTTTTGGGAGGGGGGGGCCCCCCTGGGGGGGGGGCCACATAAGCAACACGGCGCCCCCCACGAGAGAAGCACCACCGCACAACCCTATTGTCTCTCCCCTCTCGTCTAGAAGACTACCTCGACAAAATGAAAATCAACTATCTCTCCACCACATAATAACACCCCACAACAAACCCCTCCCCTCCTCTCCCCCCCCCCCCTAAGAACAGACAAGAAGTACCTATCTCTACAAATCACTACCCCTCCCCCCCCACCACTACCAAGGACTATACTGCTTTGTCTTTCCCTGCCCTGCGCTTCACTTCTCTGTCGGGCGGGGGGGGGGGGGGGGGATAGGCGAGTTGTTGTTCCATTTTATTAAGATCGAAGCTCTCCCTTTGGGGAGGGCGCAATAAGTCACACGCGCGCCGCACGCGAAAGGAGACATACCGTGACCCTCATTGTTACTTCCTGGTTTGCTATATGTAGTATTCTCAAAAGCATAAACATCAAAGCAAACAGCGTTACTAGGTAACAGTGTCTTTATTTTTTTTTTACAATTAATGTAAAATTCCTCTGGTGCCAAACAGGTATTATAGTTTTAAACTCGAGTAACTTGCCACACGCGGATCACGTTATCACTGTAGCCTGCAAACAGTGTCTGACCATCCGCTGACCAGGCTAAAGAGATACAGTCAGCAGCTGGAGCTTTGCCTCCCATGTTGATGACGTCAGGTTTTAGTTCATCCACAACCGACTTGACCTCCAGATCCTAGGACAGAATAATAACAAAGTAGTCACCTTTCAAACTGGAGCCAAAATGTGTCTTGCAACTGCTCCTAGGATCTTTACTGGGGACTTGTCGGTCAGTTAACGGCCAACACGGGCGGACGGAGGATAGATGGGGCCTAGAGATATAATATACAGAGGCAACATAGGCACGATAGTGCCCATCAGGACTATTGAGGGCGCACTTTTTAGGGAGTTTCAGGCGTATGCTCCTCTGGGACATTTTTGAGATTGAAGTTCCCGGAGATGCAATCTCGTGCATTCTGAACGCTTTTAAAAATTTAGCAAATGGCTGGATTCCATGTTGAACATGTCATGTTGAAATAATTAATAAACCAAAAGTGTGGTTGTCGTCAAAGAAGTAATTAACACTTTAAGGGCTGAAGTAGACTTGCTTCAAGTTGACCTCTTGGCGAGCAGAGCGAGCCTTATTTGGCCCCGATGAAGGACTTTTTTTAAAGTTTAGGGCTGAAGCGACGTTCGATAAATTTTCTTATTAACAATGTTTATTAAAGAAAATATATTTCAGTAACAAAGCTCTAAGTACCATGCAACACACGTTTACAAAAGAAAAAAAATTCCCTGACAAAAGGGGGCCCAGGGGGCCTACCCCTAAATCCATCCTTGGCCAATTTTTCTCCTGTACTAGTAACAGTCCCAGGAGTCTTTGTGAAATTTAACTTAAACAGTTAAGGGTGTGGGGTACGGGGACAATCCATGAAACCAAATGCTGTACATACCCATATCTTAATGGACGGTCCTACTGCAGCACACAGCCAGTATCTGTTGGGGCTGAAGCACATTGAATTAATAATATCACCTCCCTCAAGGGTGTACAAGTGCTTTCCCTCATTCAAGTCCCACAACATAGCCTGGCCATCCTTGCCACCTGAAGCACACAGTGAACCATCAGGAGAGACAGTCACGCAATTCAGATATCCAGAGTGGCCCATGTGATTGGTCTTGAGACGGCAGTTTGTTAGGTTCCACACCTGTTGAGCCGCAAGAGTAAAGCTTATATTTAGCTGTTGAATAAATTGAGTTACTTTAAATGATCGAATAGACGCCATTAAATATAGGGGTTAAAGAGGGGGAGTTTAATAGATAGGAGGTGTTTAAAAGAGAGAGAGTTTATTTTTATTTTTGTAACAGTCCCCACAAAACTAGCCTGCGAACCGCAAACGTATTTACGGTCGTCGCTTATCTCCCTCCGAAAAATAACATCTGCTGTTCGCTAATCAGATCAAAAGACAGAATGCAACTCAAGTGACTCATCGCCACCTCAGCTGAAAAAAGCGGATGCTCTCGCAGGCTACTACAAAACTGATATGCTTCTGGTAAAATATTAAGAGAGTTTATGAACAGCAGAATATCTACTCCATCCATTGATACATCTAGGTTATCTAGAACTCCATATCGCTCTTTCAAATCTTTAATACAATGTCAGAATGCTCATTCAGGGTCATTGTGTTGTCATTGTTAGTCTATCCATACTTTGATAGTGAAAAAGATGCAATGCACAATCCTTGTTAGTCAAGCAAGACTCTGCTGAAAAATTGAATGATTTTGCTCCAGTACTTCGGAGTAACTGTAATGTGGGGTGTCTGTTAAAGAACTGTCTGTAAAAGAGAAGGTTTAACAATAACTACTGGTAATGTTAAAATTGTCTTCAAGCCCAGAAAGATTACCAGACTTTAGACACACTGGGTTCCCAACGTCAATACAAAATGAGCAGTACCTTGACAATTCTGTCCCATCCAGCAGATACAATGATGGGATTGCTGGAGTTTGGAGAGAACCTTACACAGGACACCCACTCAGTGTGTCCCTCATCCTGTTGGTGGACAAAAGACAAGAGCAGTTTGAATATGAGTGTCTGGGGTAATGTAGTCTTGAGAAGGACTATTGGCCACCATGTCTACTTTTTGACAACCCCCGCTGTCATCATTAGAGTCAAGGAATTTGTTTATTGTCAATGGTTGAAGGTACAGTGGATCCCTGCCTTATCACCATCCCCAATTGAAGAAACACTGGTCATTTTATTATTTTAAAGATCCTGTTAATACGACCATCTCGTTATTACGACAAGGACTTTATGGGCCAACAATGGTCGCATTAAAGGGGTTGCACTGTATTCAGTGGTTTAAGTTCTCTGATTTTGGTCACCATGGTGGGTAGAAAAACTTTGGCAACTGAAATTCCAGTGAAATTCACAAATTTGGTAATTTATTTGGCGTTTATATGCCAAGATGTACTGCAAGTGTAGTGTAGTGTAATGTTTAGACATAAAATTCATGGAGTTTTTAAGGATATTAAAGCAAAAAAGCCAGTCTGTCAAGGAGTGTTTAGCACAGGCTGAGATACATTTTCCCAAAAATTATCCTTCCCAATTTTCACATTTGTGATTTACCTTTGAATTACTAAGTCATAATACATATTCTTTTCCACCCCAACAAAAACTCAAGGAGTTTTCAAGCACTTTCAGCTGAAATTGACCTTTTCAATGGCTTTTCAAGTGCTCTTGAAATCTGAAATTTATTTAGAGGGCCTTTCAAGGACTTAAGGTTTGTTGAAGAAATAACATTTTTGATATTCAATGAAGTACCTGAATGGTATACTTGCAAACCCCTAGAGTATTCCACAGCTTGATGGTCTTGTCGCGTGATCCTGACACGATCTGACGGTTGTCAGCAGAAAATGCCACACTCAATACATCTTTGGTGTGACCAATAAACCGACGGGTGGTGGTCCCACTGTTTAAATGAAAAAGGTTGGACAAAGAATGACTTTAATACTACAACATTAAAATTTTCTTCCACTGGTAACATAATCAAAAGTTTGGAATAGCTTTTAGTTATGAACGGGGGCAAGAGTAACACAAGAAATCAGCTTTGCCTGGCTAACAGTTGCTTGTGGGAGTTTGTCAAAATTTAGTCATTGATGTACAGTCGAACCTCCATGTGTGACCAACTCTCACAAGCGACCACCTCCCATAAGCAACCACAGATCCAAAACACCAAATTTTTCAGTTAAAGCCCTGTAGTTGGAACCTCTTGCAAGCGACTGCAACCACCTTTTGGGGTGATGGTTTTATAATTTTCCACTGTTTTCAACCCTCTGTAAGCGGCCACTTTACACATGGTCTGACCTCTTAGTTCGCTAAATGTACTACACTACTCAGAACATATGAAGAACTTTTAGTGACAACATGAAACTACACCTAGGTAACTCAGAAATTGCATGCAATAAATTCTGTCCAAAAGAGTAGATGTATGGGGACCTCTTCTCGGAAGAGTCCCCATGTGGTTTAATTCTCGTAAGGATGGGTACCCTGGACCTCCTGTAAGTGACCACTTAACCTTTGTTTTTTGGGTGGTCCATCATGGGAAAATGACTATATTTTTCTTTAAAAGGGTTTAAAAACTTTGATTTCCCATTGCATAATCATGGATGAAAACAGACCAGCCAACAATTTAGCTCTGTACAGTAGAACCTCAATGTATTCATGGCCAAGGGATTGGCAATATATCTCTGCCAAGGCTTTCTTTATATCAAGGTTCTTTTCTATACATTTTAATATTACTGGAGTGTTGTGAGTATCATTCGTTATACCGAGGCCTTAATTGTTATTATAACTGTTCCTTAAATTTGGTGGTCTTTGCCTAAATTTATGATCTCTTGCTGGCTCATAGCTTGTGATCTGAAAATGTACAACCACCTCTAGGAAGGTACAAATCTTACATTATCTGTCAATAAAAATCCCATAGCTTACGCATTCAGGTCCCAAAGTCTGAGAGTTTTGTCCCAAGAGCCAGAGAGGGCAAATTGACCATCAGAGGACATGACAACATCAGAAATGAAATGATTGTGGCCAGTAAGAGACTTCTCAGCTACACCATAGCTAGTCTCATCACGAGTTAGTTTCCACACAATGAGTGTTTTATCTGAAAAGTCACATATCAATTGTGCAGTTTAATCTCAGTGTTTGCCTTGGTAACAAGGATCATTTATTTAATGTATGGCTGAAACAACTAAAAATGTTGGAAAATGGCTATTTATTATATAAACACCAATGAAAAACCATGTGAGCTTTCGTGAGAAAACATGATATCTTCACATGTGAAAATATGGCTGCATAATAAATCGTACCTTTCGCAGCAAAAAAATATTTATGTGAAATGGTTTGGCATTTCATTGGTGTTTATATGATAAATAGAACATTACATGGTTGCTTAGAGATATGAAATTTCTCTTCTCGTGTTGAAAAATATTCCATATCTCCATGCGGTCATGTAACATCCTCTATATATGTTGAGGTTCAATTTTTTATTTCATCCTTGGTTTAAATTTCATTTCCCTTTGTTTTTGGGTATGGTTATGTGTTAATGAGTTTAAAACAAAGGGAGATAAAATTTAAACCAAGGATAAAACTGAACCAGAAAAACTACATTATGGCTATAAAGCTAAAATATGAAGACTCAAAGACACAATGAAACAATTGCAGTCAAACCGGCAAAACCATGAACACTTGAAATACCTCAGGAATGTTTATTATTTTATGACCAATCACAGCAACGATCAGGACAGGTGAACTAACCACAAAACCACAAACTAATTAATGTTTTTGCTTGGGATTTAGTTTTCTCATGCCTGACTGGCTTTTTCTTGCAACACAATATTAACCATTCCAGAAAATTTTCCAGGTTTGACTGTAAATCTCCAAAAAAATGTAATAATAATGTACTAAAATTGATAAACAATTAGAAATATTTTGCAAAAACCTAAAAAAAAAGAAAAGAATTTTGGGACAACCAACATGATACTGATGATTATCTGAAAACCAGCCCATATATAGTGTACATAGACCTTGTTTGTATTCACGTCATTGTGATCGCCCAGTCACACAGATCATTCCTCATCACACCAGAAATGATTTCCTAGGCTCGTCTCAACTCCCTAAACAAATTTTAACATAATGACAGGTATTGCGACGATCCAGATCCGGTGTATTTCCAACCACAATGGAACAGACCAATAAATTACTGATATGTTGGACCAAAATTGGTGTTCCCGCAATTTCAGAATACCAAACTTGTCGCAACGCTTTAAAGAACAAAGCGTAAACAGAATAGTTTTTTACTGTTACTCAACGAGATACAAATAATCGGCGGGGTTAAAACATACTGTTTAACTAGTAACAGTGGCACAAGATGTGAAGCGATACAAGGGTCTACTCATCATGCAATACTGCAGGCAGTACCAAACATAAACAGCTGAGGATGTGTATGCAGTTTGTATTATCAATCGAATTCTGTTGTTAAAATATTTGTAGTGAACATCTGGGGAATAAAAATTATTGGTCCTTCTCTGGGACTCTAAAACAAAACTATCAGGAAGCACACTAAACTAAGTTTAAGAAAATTCTAAGTTCATCTCTCTTACGTATTCTCATACGTACCCCGAGAACCGGACAAAATCCTGTCTGGATCTTGCGGATTAGTGGCAATTTGGGTTACCCAGCCATTGTGTCCTTTTAAAGTTCCACGAAGAGTTAATCCCTCGGCCATGATGTCTCTTACAACGTAGCGATTCGGCGGATTGAACACCGACTTACACCGCGATGGCGGTCAACAAGAGGAAAGAGAAAGAGGGAGAATGAGAGACATGATTTTAGAGTTGGGCACGAGTGTTGAGTCTGCCATGTGGGAGGGGAGGGAAGGGAGGTTCTTGCACGAAATCGAGGCGCCCACACATGTCTGATATGACGTGGCGACCGCCATCTTGTTCTTCCCGGTAGATGTGTATTTTTCTAAGCAATTTTTACAGCATATTGGCGGTCTTTGCCTAGATTAAACGATCTCTTATCGGCACATAGGATTTATGTGCTTTTTTGTGTAGCAAAGAACTTGTAGCTGCCATGCTAACGAAATTCGAAACGAAATCAGCCAGAGTGAAAGGTAAGACAACTTACAACTAGGCTGCTAAGTTCCTTTGGAATATTTTGTGGCATGCATACTTGCACAAAGCTGTAACTTTTGAAATGGTAGTATTTTGTCTTACGACGTTTTTATGTAAGATTTATTTCACTCTGTCCATTTCTGATCTTTTCGTTGCTTGATTAGGTTCTTAACACAAGTAACCATTCTCTTATTTGGGACAGTTCTTTATCAGCTTTTATGGCTAGCCTGTTTCGACCTAAGCCAGAGAACGTTTTGATTATCCCTTAAGAGTTTTATATTCAAATTTTTAACGTGAGCGAGTTTAAGGTTTTATTCAAAAGCTAGCTCAAGCTGGAAAGCCATACATATGATTTTGCAAAGCTTCAAATATTGAACTTGAGCTTTAGAAGTTTAAAAATATAAAAAAAGCTCTCTATGGACAGAGCACGTGTTTACAGTTTTTGTTTTGTCTGTTATGCACTTGTGATGTTAACGACTTGCTTTGTCATATAAACATGAAACGTAACCTGTTTTGTGGAAAAAAATAGCGTGATGTCTTGCCTTGAAGGGAACATTTCCGATGCTCAAGTCGACATTTTATTTGACACATCAAGTTACTTGTTAAGCTTCAATGGATGTCACGAAAACTAAGACCCTCGAAAACTAAGACCTTAGACCTAAGACCCGTCTTAGTTTTTGAGATTACAAAAACTAAGACCCCCTAAAATCGAATCCGTCGAAATATAAAGTCAAATTGTAACAGAAATAGATCTAATCTGTCAAATTATCTGTTGTCCGATCCTTTCCTCCGAGTTTTTGGTCAAATTTAACGGTAAATTCAGGAGTCTTAGTTTTCGTAATTTCAAAAACTAAGACCCCTCTTAGTTTTCGTCATTACGAAAACTAAGACCCCCCAAAAAGAACGATCCTTAAAATATATATGAAGTCGAATTACGACCGTTCAAAGACTATAATTCTGATAATTTGACAGATTAGACCTATTTCGGTTACAATTTGACTTTATATTTCGATGGATTCGATTTTATTGGGTCTTAGTTTTTGTAATCTCGAAAACTAAGACGTGTCCTAGGTCTTAGGTCTTAGTTTTTGTAACACCCAGCTTCAATTCTTGGCGTATAGCACACCGATGACTAGTGTCAAAGACAAAATGAAACGTGACTTCTTGCATCAAGAAAAATATCTCTTTTGACCCAATAGTACAGGTCACGCTTATTTTTAATTTTATTTTTGATGCAACAGGTCACACTTCACCTTCATGTAAAGTAGCATGCTGATCTATTCAAAATTTCTAATTGATATAATGTCAAGAAACTACTAGAGCGTAATTCACTCCCCTTATTTGCGAATTGAATCATACAATATTTTGTGTCTGGCCTTCAGAGTTATTGCTTTTCTTTCTCATGGACATTACGCACACAAAATGACTACATACTGCTTTACAGTTTCTATGGAAACTGTTAACACGTGTACAAAAAGGTAAGATTTCTGCACAGTGCCATACATTTATCCTACATGCTGTAATCTCACATTAATTCACACAAGTAAGAGTTGAAACATATGTGCATAATAAATGTATTGGGCTGTGCAGAAATCTTAACCAAAAAAATCACGGACATATCACTTACTGGTAAATTTCAGTTTGAGTCTGAGATTATGTTCAAACTATGTCGTGTAGCTCCTGTGCCGACATGAAAACTATACTGGATGGAGCTTCCATTCACACATGAAAATGGTGATTTCAGTAACAAAACAAAGCTGCTCTCTGCTTGTCTTGAAAGTGTTATATTTTTTTTGGAAACAGCAAACATAAGGCTTTTTTTGTTGACATGAGCATAATTTTTCAGAGTTGTTACCAATCCTGTTAACTGAAGTGTTCTGGTTGCTTTTTGCATTTGTAGGCATTGCCTTTCACCCAAAGAGGCCATGGGTTCTTGCAAGTCTTCACAATGGTGTTATTCAGCTCTGGGATTATCGCATGTGCACTTTGTTGGAGAGATTTGATGAACATGATGGTGAGCATGTTGTACATACTGTTTTGGATGATTACATTAATTTACCATGGTAATAGGACTGAATAGAGTCCGATTCTGTCTGTAATCATATGAGTAATTTACAAAATCAGATGTCTGTGTAGGAGTCTGATTTGTTTAATGACGAACATGATTACAGACTGAATTGGACGACACAGAGTTCTGTTATGTCTTAATATTAATTGCAATGAAATTTGTGATATTAAAACTAAATCACAGAGAGATATTCAGAGATTTTTTGTCAGAAAAGAAAAAACCATTCAAGTGCATGTGCAAAGCATACTGTCCTATTAGCAGTGAGTTTATGCAACAAGATGGCAGAAAGAAGAGGATGGCAAAACGCTTGTGTGTGACAAACTTGACATGGTTATTACTTCTGCTTTTTGTTGTGATCTTCACTTTCCATTAATGCTTTCTGGTCTTTTACAACAAGACTCGTTTAAAAGGGGGTGAAGTTTGGCGAAAAGTTTTGTAAAACAAAATTATTGTAACGCTTGTCCCACAAGGTATGCTGTCTTCTTTCTTCTCCCGTCCTGTTTCGTAAGTTCACTGGTGCTGAAATCAGAACAGCTGATGGCCAATCAGAATTGAGAATTTTGTTATAGTTATGATTACAGTTATTATATAATAACTCAGTGAGAGATTACTGGCATGCTGATTGCTCGAGATGTGGGAGTACAGGGGCGTAGCCAGGATTTTTCAAAGGGGGGGTCACAGAGGCTACTCACCCGCTGCTCTCCCTCGTGTATCAGCGGGCTCAGTCGTATTATCGCGGCTTGAAGGCCCATATTAACTAAAGACAAGAGCCGTTGATGAAAATACTTCACAAAAAAACAAATTTTAAAAAAGTGGGCTTTTCAACAATGGCTTTTACGGCCAAGATATTGTCATGGCGTTTTCGCCACTTGAATATTGTAGGTTGTTTGCTCAAAAGAAGGCCTACCAAGGGGGGGTCACGGGCACCCCAGGACCCCCCCTAGCTACGCCCCTGGAGTATGGACCATGGAAATGACATGATGATGGCCCAATTTGTTTTTCTGCCTCTTGCAAATGATGTGATTTTCCAAGAAACTTGCTGTAAATGGATGTTTAATAATGTCAATGTTGTAAAAAAAAAAACAGAAACAACAATTTTTCATTGTCTACTCTATTGTAGACTGTGGACATGAGGTCAAAATGTTAAAACCTTGCAGTGAAACCACCTGCCTGCAGCTTATATATGGGTCCACTTGACTTTTCAACATTTTGACCTCATTGAGGGACCATTCTATTTCAGTCAGCATGACTCTCAAACTGTCATGAATTACTACTTTTCCTACAATGCAGGTCCTGTAAGAGGCATTAATTTCCACAACAATCAGCCTCTCTTTGTTTCTGGAGGAGATGATTACAAAATCAAGGTTTGATATTTGTTATGGTTTAGCCTGATCATGCATGTTATAGTAGTCAATGAACAGGTTTCCCATTTCTCTTGCCACTGTCAAGGTATAGTTTCAAGCACACATTAAATTTTGGTTAAATACCAAAGACCAGGGATTGTGTATAATTTATTGCTAAGCGAATGGTGGTTGGTAATGGAACATGGCTTGGCAAAAAGCTCCGAGGCTCTTGGACAAAAATTATTTGACTGGTATTGTCCCACAAGTTGCAAGTTTTTGTTAAATTCGGAATGAGATTCAGTTCAAAGCAAATTCTCAAGATGTAGAATGGACTGTTACATGTATATACCCTGGACCACTGTACTATCGATTTTGTGACTCTAGTCACAATATGCTTATTAATTTTTGAACTTGATTTTAATTTTGCAGATCTGGAACTACAAGCAGAAGAAATGTCTGTTTACTCTTCTAGGTCATCTGGATTACATCAGAACAACATTCTTCCATCATGTAAGAAAATTTAATAGTTCTGCCAGACTATTAGTCTTTTTTTATTTGACAGAGGATGTGGGGTGGATGTTTCCTTCCTTGGAATCAGGATAAGATTCTTTGAGCCATTGGTCGAATGTTATTACGTGATGTCATTGAAAATCCTATCAGTCTCAAAGACAATCAAGTCTTGTTAAAATCCTGGTGAAAACAGTTGACAGGTTTTTTACCTTGTCATGTTATTCTGGGTTCAACAGTCATTCGAAATGCATTTGAACCTCTCTTAAGCAATCACCCAAAATGTGAAGACTTAGTGGTCACTTGCGAGAAGAGGTGACTTGCTAGAATTTAACCACAGGGATCTCTTCTGAGAAGAGGTCCAGAGACATCTATTTTTTGGCAGAGATTTTTTTGCTTGCCATTTCCATGTTACATGCTGTATGCAATAGTTCCACGTTTTCACAAAGTTCTTCATACACTCTGTAGCTCATACAGCAAAGAAAGAGACTGTACCATGGGTCAAGTGGTCCCCTATAAGAGGTTAAAAACAGTTGAAAACTATTAAACTGTCAGGCCAAAAAGTGGTCGCAGTTGCTTGTGAGAGGTTCTAATCATAGGTCTTTGACTGGGAAAAATTTGGTGTTTTGGATAGGTGGTTGCCTACACTGTGCATGGGAGGTGCTTTCTTATCAATTAATGTAATATAAATGCAATATCTTTGCAGTCAACTCTCTTAAAGACTGATAGCTTTGGAACCAGCACTAATTATTGTTCGTTTTCAAGAGGTGTTCATCTTAAACTACGTCACCTAAAAGGAGTAAAGAAATTAACACTGTAGGAATTCTAGGTCTCCTTTTAAATGGTGGTGTCCTTCTTACAGAGTTGTCCTTTTGATATAGTTGACTGTAGACTAAAAGGTACAGTGCAGTATGCTTTTATGCTCAGTACGTTTATAATTATGCCAAATGTTTTAAAGGAATACCCATGGATAATCAGTGCTTCTGATGATCAAACTATTCGCATCTGGAACTGGCAGTCCCGAACATGTATATGGTGAGTTTTGTACGTTGTGTAATGATCAGTTATATGATTATCTTGAGGATGTGAGCTGCTGGTTTATGGTGATTTGTACATTATGTGTAATGATCAGTAATATATTTATCTTGAGGATGTGGGCTGGAAAGAAATCAATGTTATTCTTAGTGATGCCTTTAGCACGTACATGTTCGGTTTTAGTGTTAGTAGTTCTGTTAGTTTTTTAACTATAAGGTACAGTGACAGCAACAAGGACATCAAAAATCAATAGGTTTAACAACCAAATAACAACTTTGCACATGGAGCACACTTTGTCGTCTTTGCATGACTATGACATGAAAACCCTCAGGCAACGTTTTACAGAGAATATACAGTAAACACAACAGAGCAAAGTTTTCCTTCTCATCCTAATTTGGGTTTGGTCCCCAAGAATTCAATGCCAAAAAAATTCACCTACATTTGACATTTTGAGCAAGTCGAAATTATTGCAACAAGGTTTGAAAAAAAGCAAAGTCTTAATAATAGTGGCATTTTTGTTGCCGCCGCCGTCTTCGATGCTCAAACTGCCTATTAACTTTAAGATAGTAACCACATGTAACTTATTACCTGAGGAGAAAGGGTGAGTGCTGATTCCATAACAAGCTGCTTAACTGAGTTTTTTTTGTTTCTTTTAGTGTTTTAACAGGCCACAATCATTATGTGATGTGTGCACAGTTTCATCCGTCTGAGGACATGGTGGTTTCTGCATCTCTAGACCAGACCGTCAGAGTATGGGATATTTCCGGTGAGCTGTCACCCTGTGTTTGTGTGCTTAAATGCACTAGTCATTTATGCATTGTCCTTTTGTTTAGTCCATGTTATTGTTACAGTGGCATGAATGTTGTGCATGTCTAACGTTATGAGTCTGTGATTATTTAATATTTTGTTGGGTGACCATTCTCGATCTTACATACCAGTTACACTACATTTTTTTACTTCACGTACTCTTAATTATTGTTACTGTGACCAATGAAGCAATGGAGTATTTTCTTGTTTGGACACTTTGTTTGAGTGAAAGTACAGCTGTCATAACTTGCACTCCCAGCTAACTCGAAATGAGTCCCATTTCCCTTGGATTTCTATCTTCTTTTCAGTCGTTCTTACTTGGTTAACTTGTATTCGAGCTCAAATAACTTTCTTTTCCTGTTAACTCAAATTAAAGTTATTTAGTTTCCTTTGATTAAATTTTATTGTTTATGACTTGAATACTGGTTCTGGCAACTCACCACATTTACCTTCCAATTAACTCGTCTTGTTGTGTTATTGGTAAAACAGTAAACCTAACACTACAGAAATTTGATTTTAATTAACTAGTGTGACAAACATATCGTGTATTTGAAGTTTATTGTTTTTTACCACAACTCTTTATTCTAGGTCTGAGGAAGAAAACTGTTGCCCCTGGAGCTGCTGGATTGGAGGAGCACCTCAAAACACCAGGTCACACAGATCTGTTTGGGCAGTCAGATGCAATTGTAAAGCATGTTTTAGAGGTAAAGACATGGTGGTTTGTAAGGTGGTTGACTTTAAAAGTTTGAGGATGGGGCTTAACAGGTTTATTTCAACATTATTTCCCCAGGGCCATGATCGTGGTGTGAACTGGGTTGCATTTCATCCTACAATGCCACTTATTGTATCTGGAGCTGATGACAGACAGGTCAAGCTCTGGAGAATGAATGGTACTTACCATAACAGTTTTGGCCTTTCTGTTTTGATTTCTGGTACTCTTGTGTGTGTGTATGTGTTTCCCTCCCACAGATGTTATTAGCTTTTAGCCGCTTACTGCATTAAAATCAGCCTCCTACATGTACTCTAAGTGTGAAGACGAGTCAAACATAGCAAATATAGGAGGATTTGTGCGATAAACAAACAGCTACTTTCCCCTGAGAGCTTAGCCACTTAAAACCTTAATGACCACTCTGATCTCCTCCTATAATAATGCACAGTGTGTCTCCCATGAAAAATGGTGCTATCCTGGTATTTAATGATATTCTACAGGTGTTAAGCTAACCCTAACTTTTTTTTACCATCTATTTCAGATTCAAAAGCCTGGGAAGTCGACACATGTCGCGGTCACTACAACAATGTATCATGTGTTATGTTCCACCCTAGACAGGAACTTATTCTGAGTGAGTGTGAATATGTGGATTATTTAACCTCACCTGTTTTAACCCTTTAAGCCTTTTCTCCCAACAACATCAGAACATGAAAAGGTCATGAGGATTTATAAAGTGCTCACCAAAGTGACAATGCCTTGATCGTCTATCAAATTCTCTGGACTAATTCTTGTGGAAAATGTCTGGAGATCATTCTGGAGAATAATTATGTAAATGAATATTGGGGCATAGAGAGCTAAGTAAGCCTTTCACAAGTGATAGAAAGAACTGAAAGTTTGTTAGAATTTAGTACGATATGTACAGTTGTTTCGTAATCCAGTGAAATGATGATGCAAAGTTATCTTGTGCATTGTGACAAGTTGTAGTTTTATAGAGGTACTCTCTGTACAATGTGCATTAATGTTTTCTTGGCTTTATTCAGGTAACTCAGAAGACAAAAGCATCAGAGTTTGGGACATGTCAAAAAGGTATATGTAAGGTTGAATGCTTCTTAAAAACCAACAGGTATTAGCCTGAGATCAAACAGCCAACATTTCATGATGTTACCACTGGCTTCCCTGCGAAATGACATCTGAGGAATGACTGTGGAAATTTCATACTGATGATGTGTCACTTTCTAGACCTGGGTAGTGGTTCTGATTGATTGAAGCAAATTTCCCTTGCAGCAGGACCAAACAGATATGGAATTTCTGAATTTCTGTTCCTCAGGCATAATTTCACGGGGAACCAGTGGTGGTCTTGCAAAATTATGGCTGTTTTCTCAGGCTAAATAGGTACTAGTCAGGGTTTTCAGACACTTTCATTGTCTCTTTGAGTTCAAAGTGGACATGTAAATGTACTTTAAAATACTTTTTTTATGTTGAGTTCATTTTGTACTGTTGTGTAACCTGTTCATGTGTTTTCTTTTCAGAACTGGAGTCCAGACCTTTAGAAGAGAACATGACAGGTTTTGGGTAGCTGCTGCTCACCCCACACTCAATCTCTTTGCTGCTGGTATGTTGATGGAATTACAGTCAAGCCAGGTCAAGCTCATCCCCCAAGATTCTATTGATGAATTTGTCATTTGAAAGTTGAATCCATTGGTAGTTGTTGATTTCAGATTCATGTCTGCATTCCTGCTTGTGTAATGAGCAGGGGTCATCTTACATGAGGATTCAGTTCCTCCCTGATGGCAGCCTTTTTGTATTGATTATTACAAATAAAGTTGTTATAAATAAAATAAATAAATAAATAAATATGAGGCAGTTATAAACTTTCCACTACAGTGTAGCTCAGTTTTCTTGAATTTGATGTAAATGTCTTCAAGGCAATTTTATCCATTGAAACATTTTTCAAACTGACCGAATACAGAGAGGTTATCATAAAAAATTTATTGCTCATTATGCACCAGGAATGCAGATTTGAATTTGTTACTGGTTGTAGCAATGTCAATTCATTTTTCAAATTATTGATTCATTAATGAAATCTGTGGAGGTATGCGTGATCTGGCTTGACTGTAAGAGGTGCAGTACTCATTCTTTAATAACAATTTCAATTTTTCTGTTGTTAAATCCCTTTTAGGTCATGACAGTGGAATGATTGTCTTCAAATTAGAAAGAGAGCGACCAGCCTATGCTGTTCATGGAAACACTTTGTATTACACCAAGGTGTGTTGAACGTATATTGGTGAGCTTTAGCAACAACTATTACGATGACAAGGAAAATGGCAAAAAGCAATAGGATTAGACTGGCAAAGAAACAACTCTGAACATGAGTCATGTCGAAGGATGTAAACATGGGAATACTGTTTAATTTTTCTTTTTCTGAACTTAGATACAATCTTTTGCGCACATTTGACAAATTGAACAAGATGAAGAAGAAGTTTGAATAAGAAGTTTGAATTCACTTTTTGTTTGACGTTTTCTATGCCGTCTCCATCATACAGTGTAGATGCTACGGTGTAAAGTTCCCTATTTACTGGAAAACGACTCCAGAAAAGAGGTCACCTTTCACTTTTAACAATTTAAAGTGTTACCTCCTCTAACGTTCATTTTGTTTAAATGCTTTGCAGGACCGATATTTGAGGATGTATGAATTTGGAACCTCAAAAGATGTACCCGTCATGCAGTTCAAGCGCAATTCCTCCCGAACACCTGTGTACAGCATGTCTTACAATCCGGCAGAAAACTGTGTTCTCCTCTGCACGGTATGTTGAACTGCATGAGATGATGATGTTGTACCTTTGTAATTTTAATTTTTTGCTGGATATGTAGTTGTCTCTTTGAGGTGTCCTTATACAATAAACTTATGTTTTGCATAACCAAAGGATGAGTCAACTTAAAACCAAGGATAAATTTGACCAAGTGGTACATTGTTGTAAAAATGCATCCGTTTATTTTCACTAGAATGCAAGTAATCCAGAGAACTGTGTTTATGAGCTGCATGCTGTCCCAAAGGAAATTGATAGCAGCAACCCCGAAGGTAGGTTTGAATTAATACAGATAATATAATAATAATAATAATAATAATAATTTAATATTTATATTGCGCAAAATACATGTAAATATGATCAAATGCGCATTACATGAAACTAAATTATCAACATTAATAAGTTATCCAAAATAACTAAAAATATTATATAAAAAAACAATGGATCTATAAAAATATAATATATACATAATCCTAAAAAAACCCTAATAAAAAGCTAATCTAAAAAAATGGGTCTTAAGTAAACCTTTAAACCTATTAAAATTGGGCTCATTTCGTATTTGTGATGGTAACCCATTCCACAGTTTAGGTGCCGCAGCTAAAAAAGCATGGTCACCCAATGTCTTTTTAGTTAAAGTTCTTGGCGTTTGAAGCATGATTCCCATTGCACACGATCTTAAATTGTATCTCTCTTCCTCCCTTTTTCTAATGAGTTCTTGTAGATATACCGGAGCTTGTCCATGGATCGCTTTAAAAGTAATTATAATAATCTTAAAATGAATCCTAACTTCTACTGGAAGCCAATGAAGCGTACACAGAATTGGTGAGATGTGATAAAACTTTGGAATCTTAAAAATAAGTCTTGCTGGGGAATTCTGGAGCCGTTGTAACTTTGCTATTTGTACATGTACATATGAAATACAATTCTTCATGCACTGGATAACATGGTTGCTTAAAATCAGACACTCCTAGACCATAGCGTGTTTGACTTGTTGTACTGCTTCTCTTTGTTTGTTAGTGTCAGAAGGCAAGAGAGCATCTGGATTGACAGCAGTATGGGTGGCTCGCAATAGATTTGCAGTGTTGGACAGGACACACACAGTAAGGGTCTTTACTCTTGTGATGGTAACCTGTTTCTTTAGGCTCAATATTTAAATAGTAAACCTTTTTTTTTAAACAAAGATCCACTCCTGGATCAGTCTGTCACTTGTGATAAACTCTTCAGTATTTACAACTGACTTAGCAAATCCACAGAGCGCTCTGAAAAATGATACTCTTTTGTTGTATGGGTGGTCACCTTCCTTAGATAGATGTTATTGGTTTCCTGATCCTGTAAGTATTTCAGTTTTTCCAAATGAAATCTTGATACAGCTAAGGCTGTATTTTTTCACAAAAGTGAAAACTGGCAGACTGTTTTTTCTGCCTCCTGCTACAGGACTTTCCATCATGCTTTGAGCACATGCTGTTGTATCCCAAGCAGGGTACAAGTGCTCAAATGTGTCATGATTGGGATACATTTGATTTTAGTCAAGGCCACATGACCAAGAATCAACCAATGGCAGTCTCTGCTTAGTAGAGTGAAAGTCTAGGAGTATAACAATCACTGTTGTTCATTCTCAAACATTACCTTTTTCTGAACAGATAATGGAGCCATTAGGTTTCAATGGTAATTTCCACAAATTAGAATTTAGGGAAATTTTGTGAAAAGGTTAACTACTTTACAGAAGCAAAACATTGTCAGGTGCATTTGACTTGTCACAGAGTTAAGTAGCAAGATGGTTGTTTTGCCACTCCCTTTTAGCTGCTTATCAAGAATCTGAAGAATGAAGTAACTAAAAAAGTTCAGACTCCTCCTTGTGAGATGATTTTCTATGCTGGTACTGGAAGCCTTCTTTTAAGAGATAGCGATTCTGTTACCCTGTTTGATGTGCAGCAGAAGAGGTGTGTAAATTGTACTTAAATTATCACTTTAAACCCTTGACTTCTGTCAGTAATAATTACATTTGAAAAAATAAGAAACTTCAGTTGGTCTTGGTGATGCTTTTAGTCAGTTTATTGATGGTATTGATATTATTTCTGTGCATTTACACACTGTGACTTTGATAACAGTAAAATACAATAATTAAATACAAAGATGATCATCGAGGCTCCTATTCCAGTAAAAGTGCATGTACAATCTGCAGACCCCGAAGTAGTAACTTTGTATTGTTTTGTTTTTTCTTCTCTTATCTTTACAGATCCCTTGCATCGGTGAAAGTGAACAAGGTGCGATATGTTGTGTGGTCTTCAGATATGGCTTATGTTAGCTTGTTAGGAAAACATGGTAAGTCCAAGTTAGAAATTTGCTTGATAGCTGTTGCCCTTTTAAAAGGCCACCTTGTCTGTATGTTCTGTCTTAGACAGCACATGATAGATTCGTTTACTATACTTTGCATAAACAACATTTGCTGCTTACCAGTAGTTTTTCAACATGTAGAAAGCTCAAGGTTGAACATGTTCATGTTACTTTGCAGTTGTTGCCATTTGTAATCGAAAACTGGAGTGCTTATGTACCATCCATGAGAACATCCGTGTAAAGAGTGGAGCATGGGAGGAAAATGGAGTGTTTGTTTACACCACTAGCAACCATATCAAATATGCACTAACTAATGGGTGAGCTTAATTATGTTGTTTCTGTTTGTGTCTGTTTTTATTATTAAGGTTGATAACACACCTCTGGCTGTTATTTCAACGTGGCCTGGTGAACACATTTTTTGTTTAAATCTGCAATTTTGTTAGATAAAAGTGTGAGGTGGTAGCAAAATTTCTGGATCCCAACAATTTTTCTCAACAGAGACGGCCGTTTGTATTGGCAAACAATGGAAGGAAAGTAAAGCCTATCGTGCACAAGAAAATCATGCATTTCGATGTTTTATTTTTTCCTGCCATATTTGCAGGACCAAAGTTTGATGAGATCCAGAAATTTTGCTACCATGGCAATGTGACGTAATGACTTTTCCTCTCTATTATTTTTGATTGGAAAAAGGGTTTTTGTTTCTTTTTATTGGCCTAGATAAATATATACCTGTGCTTATTATACCACAAATAAAGTACTTGAGTCGTATTTGCAACTTCCTCCAACATTAATGCTGTGAGAAACCTTTTGCTTTGAAATCCAGTCACAGTTCAGATCTGCCACTCATTGCTTCTCTCATCTCTCACTTTTTGCCCTTAGTGGCAGGAAGTGATACGAGGTGCCTGTATTTGCAGGCTATAATTATAGTCATGTTACTTTATCAATGTGAAACTTCAAGCTCAGGTGTTAGAAAATTACTTTTTGCTATTGCCTGCCAATAGAATTGATGAATCCTTGTTTTACATGCAACCTCCATGCTTTAAAGAAGTGTTACAAATAGGTTTGATGTTGACCCTCTGTAGCTAATGTGTGCATGATGTGTGGTATTTTTATAGTGATCATGGAATTATTCGTACTCTTGACCTTCCCATCTACATTACGAGAGTCAAGGTAAGATTGCTTTTCAGAAAATGTCATAGGTGCGGCTCCCACTATACTTGGTACAGGAGAGTTTTAGATTTGACGACAGCAACAGAAACGGAAACGTCACTCAAAAAATGAATTTGCACTGCGTCAAACTCCTTCACTCTTATTCCACCTCCTTCAATGTCTCTGATGTTGGAAAATTTTCCTGGATTTGAATTCCAAAAGACTACATCTAAGTTGAGAAGAAGAAAAATCAAATCGTTTTCTTGTCTTCAAGTCTTTCGTAAGACATGAAATTAGGATGTTTCATGCCATAATCTTGCAACAACAGCAAAGAAATGTACAAAAAAGTGTGATGCACATCCAGAGTTGTTGTCTTGCCAATCTATACCTATTGCTTTTTTGCTGTTGTTGTTGCCGTTGCTGTAGTTGTTGCTAAGGCTCCCTACGAACCCTTGACCATGCGGGTTACCGGCGTTTCCAGTTTGACTTTGATAAGCTGGTTCAAGTTTCTTGGCTCGCTAGATAAACTGAAGTCTCTTACTCACCTGGTTTGTCTTGTTGTAACATGCTGGGTCTTCTGACTTCAACATGAACCATGTATAATTACTGAAAGAAAAGAATTACAGTGTCTTTTTGCTGTCAAGTTTATTATATATTCTTTTTTGTGCATCTTGACTTGCTTTGGTTGACATTGTCAGAGAGTTGTTTGTCCTGAGTAAAAGATTAGTAAGGACCTTTTTGATGCAGGTTTCTTGTAACAAAGACAAAGTAGTTGTTATATTCTGTCTCGTGATGTAGTCTCTTTAGATTTAGAAAGCAAAATTTCAACTGCTTACTGTCAGTCTTCTTTTATATGTCCTATATTCTCAGCTTCAGCAGTCAGGAAAAAGACTCTTCCTTTTTAACCTAAAAATACATTATCTAAGTTATTTAGCAGTTTAAAGTAAAAAGTGATATTCATCAGTGTAGAGAAGCATAACAGATTGAAACCAATATTAATTTCTGTCTTTTACCTCTGCAGGGAAGTAGTGTTTACTGTCTTGACCGTGAGTGTAAAACCAGAGTTCTTGGAATAGATCCCACAGAGTTCAAATTCAAACTGGCTCTGATTAATCGCAAGTATGATGAGGTAAGTGTGTGGCTGAAGTTTGATACTATTTTTTTTAGGAAAATAGTGACTTATCTTGTAGATCAATTCAGTAAATTTAGTGAATTAAATGTGTGTATTGTCTTCTTTAGGTGCTGCACATGGTGAGAAATGCAAAGCTTGTTGGACAATCTATCATCTCTTACCTGCAGAAAAAAGGCTATCCAGAAGTGAGTGGTTTTCTCTCACTTTTTTGCCTATTACTGTACCCTCAAACTTCCTAAATATGGACAGCAAATAGACAAAGTCAAGTGTTCACACTACAGATATGTCCTTATCATAGTTTGTAATGCACAGAACTGTCTCTAAGAGAGAGGAGTCTGTATTATGGAGTTGTCCAGGAGGAGGGGCTTGACTGTTTTTATCATTTTGATCTGTCATTTCTGATTCAAATTCAGCTGCATTTTTATGGTTTTGTGAATTCTGTAGCTGAGATTTCTTTAGTAATTGCTTTAATTTGCAGCTAGTAATGCCAGTGTTATTGTCATAGAAGTTTACCTGTCCTCTAATGACATTTGTTGTTTGTAATGTATGTTTCCCATAATTTTAGTATTTATTAATTTACACAGTCCGGAATATCCCTAAATTTAAGGACAGGGCCAACTGGTCACGCGACACTTTTCAACCAATGAGACGGCGCGCTTGTGTTTATCAACAAACAAATCAAAACATCGCCCCAGTGATCAAAAATTTTCAAAACAACGGACGGAGTCGGACAGAATTAAAGATGAGCTTACAGTACTCGCCTAGGTTTCACATTTAATATTTCAGAGAAAACATTTTATGTAAGAGAATAAGAGCATTAATCATTGCAAGGAACGAATCATTGGGGTGTTCTAACTGATTCCGGACCGATCGCAGAGGTCCTGGCTTCACTGGCATGGCTTGCAAGATTTTTGATAGAAGCAAACTAGTCCCGTGAAAAATAGCCTTAGAGAGAGCGTGAAAATTTGTTGAGATCGTACAAAACAGGATTGGTACTACCTATTAACTTCTACAGGACAAGAATCAAAGAATCAGTCATCATAACAAGAATAGAAAGTAGTTCAAATTTATTAATTCTTCTTGTTTGTGTTTTGTGTTGTTTCGTGTTGACTTCACGCATCTGGTGCTTTCTTTGCTTGCTGTAGTACCTGCAATGTTTTAATTTTATCCCAGATAATCAGTGCATGTTCAATGAGTAGCGAAATACATCATTTAGAATTGAGATTTGCCTTGTTTCTTTTATTGTTTTTTAACGGTGGATGAACATTTGGAGAATGCAACAACATTAAATCTTTCCAGATTAGTGAATTTCAGAAACAAAGCGGTTAGTATCTACGTTGCGCTTATGATCTTCAAATTTCATCCCCGCAAATTCGGCAAAGTGAGGCGAAATGTTGGACGTGAATATCCATAAGACTAATAAAGTTGTTTTGGCCTTGAAAAGAAAAAAGGCAAAGGCTCGTACTAATGCGAAAAAAAGTAATAACACGGCTCTGTGAGAAACCCGGGAGTGAAAAAAGTACGTGTTTTGGACCTCGGAATTCAAAAATTGTCTACCAAATTCTAGGTTGTCTACCATCCCCACATTCAACATGATAAAAGTTAATCGATAGGACAATCGAGGAAAAATATCTAGAACTTCGTAAAAAATCTGTGAATCGAAAAAATAATAGACACTTGTTCACCTACCTTGAAAACCGACCAAAATCTCGCCTACACATCACGTTGTTTAAAGGATAAAAGAAGAAATAAGCCACAAAATGTGCTGAATATTTCACGAGACACTTCCAATATCGCTTCCGATACGCTGTCCACTTAAAAAAATTGTGTATGCCTCATGAAAAGGCCCAAGTCTTTAAAATATGCCTGAGAGCCTCGAAATGATGACTGATTCTGTCCGCCTCCGTCCGTTGTTTTGAAAATTTTTGATCACTGGGGCGATGTTTTGATTTGTTTGTTGATAAACACAAGCGCGCCCTCTCATTGGTTGAAAAGTGTCGCGTGACCAGCTGGCCCTGTCCTTAAATTTAGGGATATTCCGGACTGTTACACACTGATTGTTGTTACTCATTTACTGTATCTTCATCAGTTCTTTTGGAATTAATTGTCATAGCTGTGCGTGTATAGCCATCATGAGTTGTAATTGAGGAAGCCGTATGTTGCGGTTTCTATTCAAGGTTTCCTCACCACTATATTCTATAGTGTATTTTTCTTTCCTTTTTTGTACATTTTGTGTGGCAAAAATAAATAGATAAAAATAAATAAATAAATTGTTTTGTTCTTCAAGGTTGCTCTACATTTTGTGAAAGATGAGAAAACTAGGTTTGGATTGGCCCTGGAATGTGGTAACATTGAGGTAAGTACCTGGGCTTTTACTGTCTACCACTTAGTCTCCAGTATTAAAATACATGTATGAATTATGTTTATTGCTTTTGTACATTTTTCTTAGCATAAATCAATAAAATATATGATGCTAATTCCTGCTGGAAGGTGAGCCAAAGGGACAGCTGTGTAGGACACTAGTGTTCAAGTTAATTAATTAAGTAACTATACATCTGTATTTTTTTGGCAGGTTGCCTTGGAAGCAGCTCGGAGTCTTGATGATAAAGCTTGTTGGGAGAGACTAGGAGCTGCTGCTCTGACACAGGGAAACCATCAGGTACAGAACTGGTAAACTCCAATACACTCTTTGTACAACAAATAAAAATCCTATTATAGTTCCATAGTTGTTCTATTCCTATTCCTATTCCCATTTCTATTCTGGGATTGTCCTCCAGGATTGTCCCATTGTCCCATGGTATGTTGCCTGCTCAAAGTGTGGCAAAATGTGTGAACAATTCATAACAAGTTTAGTTTGGTTTCATGCTTTAATTGATTGAGCAGTATGATAAGGGAAGGTCCATTAGAAAAATGATGGGGGTGGGGGAGATTCTGCTTTGCAAGTAAATTCTTTTGTTTCACCGTGTGTGTATTTTTCCCTTGCTTGTATGTACGTTTTTCTGCATGTTCCCGCTGTATGTATTTTTTAAAATTCATGTGAATTTTTCTTGGGTGGATTTTTTTCCCACCCCGGTCCTTCGCTTTCTGTCCCTAAGTTGTTATGAAGTATTAACTGCTATGGTGCATCAGTTAATTCAAGTAACATGTACTTTAATTTGTTGTTTAACAGGTTGTAGAAATGGCTTACCAAAGGACCAAGAACTTTGACAAATTGTCTTTCCTCTACTTGATAACTGGAAACCTTGAAAAACTCAGCAAGATGACCAAGATTGGTAAGGAGCAGTTTCTACTGCTTTGCACTACATGTGTGTCTGTAACACTGGACATCTTCCCCCACCCCACCCCACCCCACCCTACCACCCAAAAATGAAAGAACATGACAATTGCCAAAGGCTCCAAGATAATAAGCAATGCATGGACTCAAAGTGTATGGCTATGCTACTGATTTTGAAAATGTCTCCACTATTATGAAAAGATATAACTGAATAATTTATGACGGTATAAAGACCACTTTGCAGGAAGGTTGTTGCAAATGTAGACAACAATTTTTGCAAACTCCAAAAATGAGCAAGTTTCCTTATCATCATTACTTCATATCAGAGACTGTAATTTGGTCAATTGACGTTTTCTGTCTTACACCTTTTAACCAGAGAATGTTGTTGAGCTTATTATTTGTTTTTTTTGTAAAGTCTTCCTTTTGTTTGTTTGTTTAGCTGAAATCCGTAAGGACATGAGTGGCCAGTATCACAATGCCTTGTACACTGGTGATGTGGAGGAGAGAATCAAGATCCTAAAAACCCTTGGTCAAGGTACATGTAGTGTCATTTAACTGGAATTCCTATTAGTAGTTTTAATGAGTTCAAGATTTTGATATTAGAAATACTCCCCCCCCCCTAAAAAAAAATACTTGGACATCAAAATTAATAAGCTGCTGAGTATGTTCTTATTGTCTGCAGGTCATTATTATCTCATTCCTTTTACCTGCTTTGTTTTGACATCTTTCTGTAGGATCACTGGCCTACTTAACCGCAGCTACACATGGATTAGCAGAGGAATGTGAGGAAATCAAAGAAACGTTTGGTCTGGACCCAGAGACTGTAAGTGAATACTGGAAATGATCCTCCTAGTCTTCCTTAATTGGACCAAAACTGCCAGGAATTTGTTGTTGTTATGTTGATGGACTCCAGCTACCTTACAATTCCTCAAGCTTAAATTGTTTTTCTTTTCATTTGACATTAATTTTTTCCTAAATAAGTTAATAATTGAATTTTTTTTTTCCTGTTCAGTTGCCTCCTATTAACCCAAGTGCCAAACTTTTACAACCACCACTACCAATCCTACAGAATGAAGGCAACTGGCCTCTACTTACTGTTGCTAAGACCTTCTTTGAGGGGGCTATGGCTGCCAAAGGTAAGTTAAACATACGCAAAGGGATAAGGTTTGGAATTGGCTAACATGTCATAATTGATGATCAGAAATAATCAGATTGACCCACCCAGTCAATTGTTGATTATGATTTATTTGGGAAAATATCCATAAGAATTCCATTCAGGATGGCTGCTGTACCATGTTTTAGAACCTGACAAACACATGAAATGTATCAGAAAAGGGACTTCAGTGGATTTGACCCTGCTCGCCAGAGAGTTCCAGTAGCGGAGAAATAAGAGCTTCCGATATTAGAACTCAGAGGGTTGTGAGTTTAGTTCTTGCCTGGAGCTTAGACTTTTTCTGTGCTTTCCGGTCGTCAAATTCTCTTTCTTCTTTAATTTTGAGACCATTAAAAAGACAACATGTTTTGCCAACAAGAATTTTTTTTCCTGCTATACTGGATTGATTATTTTCTATGGTCAATTACTGCATAGTGTAAAGATTTCCATCAATGTTCGATTATAATCAGTGATCGGCACACCACCACTTAGTGATCTATCCTGGTTACTTATATGTTTTGGATTTTTTCCTTGACCATCCACAATCCTAAGCTCTTAACCCCTTCACTGCTAACAGTGGCCAAAGTAACAGTCCAGCCAGAGTAAAAATTTCTAACAAAAACCCCAGTGCTTGAAAGTTTTCTTTGCAACGTCCTAAGATTTAAATATTATTATGCAAATGTTTCACAAAAGAGGTTTAATTGAAATAGGAAAACCATGGGATTTTGTCCACTGATTTTAAATCTTGTGTTCCACTTTTAAATTATTGTAATTTCTAGAGGGGAGAAAAGTTTAAACCACTTTTAATGCTTCATGAGGGGAGTACAGTTGTTATTTGGAACAACTATGTCTTGAATGTAGTTTCCTACAGCATCAAAATATTTCAAAACTGAAGCTTATATTTTACCCACAAAGCTAACTATTTTGATACGGCTGGGCTTAAGAAAGCTTTTTAAAGAAACCTCCAGCTCACTATCCTAGAAATAATAATATTGCCATAAAGGTCTAAATGCTTATCTTTAACATACTTTTAATGTAACAAAGGTAACTTAATTTGAGAAACAAATTCCATGTAGCAGTGGTCAGCGCTATGGCCTGACTGTTTCTCTGCACAGTGTCCTCAGTTGTAGTACTCTACTGTGTTTACATCATCCTCAGTACACTTGTATATTCTTACTTTAGCAGGAGATAGAGCTGCTGCAATGGTGGCTGCCGACATTGATGAGGGTGCAGGAGAAGGCTGGGGAGAAGACGCTGCACTTGTGATTGATGAAGGTACCAGAAAATCTCACTTTACAGCGTGTAAAGAAAGTGGTGTCCGATAGCCTGGGCTAGTGGATTTTGCTATCGGGCTAGTGAATTCTGTTCCTAACTTGCCGGATGGGCAAGTGATTTTTTTGGGGGGGAATTCAAATTACAGAACAACTATAATCAATCCTGGTCATCAAATTTTTTCAGGCTAGTTGAAATGACTTTCAGGCTAGTACATGCTAGGTACAGCTTGCCTGAATGGCAAGCTGTAAAACTAACTTTCTTTGCACCCTGCTTTAGAAAAGTCTTTTTAATCATCCCATTTCACTTTGCACTATTTCGTAGCTAACAATTGTTCCTCGAGCCCGAATGGGCTCTGATTCAATATCTGAAGGCTGAATGGCCTTTTGACTCAGAGGCCATGAGGGCAAGAGGAATATTGTTTTAGTAAAATCCAACTAGTTGGTCAAAAATATCGAGACAAAACAACTTTTAATTAGTTAGTTAAAGGTAGACTTCCTTTTTTGCCACCAAAAAGCCGGCGCTTTTCACTACTAGTGGGCTATAACATATAGCCTAGTAGTAGCTCAACCAATCAGAACACAGCCTTGATAATAGACCACTAGTTGGATTTTACTAATAAGTAATAGACCTTTACCAAATTCCTTTTCAGTGAGCAAACACAATGGAACAAGGTCGGGGCTTGGGTAGACAACTTCCTACAAATCACTGGATTTTGTCAACCAAAGCTTGAGTCAGTGCCTTTGTTCACAGGAATGTGGGAAGGGTCTCTTCAAGGGGTTATCTTGAAAAAATTGCCAAGTTTCTTCTGAAAAACATTTAGATTCTCCTTTCATATTGCCTTTATTTGAGAAACAAGAGGAAAATTTGAAAGCTCCATGCGCTCTTGAATCAAGTTGTTTATCTCTTTGAATACAGAGGGTGGTTTTGGAGAAGAGGGACTGGATGGTGACATTCTTGGTGGAGATGAAGAAGGTGGTGGCTGGGATGTTGGAGATGAAGATCTTGTACTTCCTCCTGACTTGGTAAGTCACTTCAAGAACTTTTAAATGCTTTGTTAGATGACAAATAATTATTTCAATGGTACTGATACAAGGCCCATGTGTACGTTTTAAGTGACTGTTGTGTTGCACGTAAAATCCAGCCTCAGGTTAAACCTGTATTCAGCCTAACTTGATTGAGGAAAAACAGGAAATCTTCCAGATTTAGGTTACAACGGATTTTACCTACAACATTATTGTACCATTGACTAGTGCTAGAACTTGTTTAAATGCTGTTCAGTTCAGCATGACTTAATTTTTTCCCTATCCAAAGTTGCTTATTGTTTTAGTTTGAAGAGTGCACATTTAGCAAAAAAGCCTGCTCTGTAATGTTTTTTAAGAAGAAGACTTTATCACTGTGATCTTTAGTCGATGCTGTGTAAAGTTTAGGAAAAGGCTTGAACTGAAAATTGTTTTTAAATGTCCTTATGGTCTGCTTTGATATGTGAGAGCTTGAAACGTGGTTGATGGCTACCTTTATATATGGATTAAAAGGATTATATGAGTTTAGCTACCGGTAAATCTAAATATGAACTTAAAGTGGATAGGACTATCCACTGGATAAATTGCAATGCAGTGGATGAGTATTTTGAAATCCAATTGTGCTATCCACTGGATAGTAATTTATCCAGTGAATAGCACTGTCCACCTATTGAACACCTGGGGCTTGATGAATTTTCCCTTTGCTAGGACATTGGCCCAGCTGCTGGCACTGGAGATGAGGGCTACTTTGTGCCACCTGTCAAAGGTACCAGCCAGTCTCAGGTGAGTCTTTGTTCTAGTGGTTTCTTCGTTTCTTCTTAAAGCCTGGATATTTGTTTCTGCCATCATCATTTTTACTCCCATTTGTTTACACAGGTGTGGTGCACCAACTCCCAGCTTGCTGTTGATCATGTTCTGGCTGGATCATTTGAGAGTGCCATGAGAGTGAGTTTTCTCCCTTAGTTTGTTGTAGGTAGTAAAACAAACAGTGCTCAAGGTCAAAATTAATTGAAGATAATGCAAGATGTGTTTATGTATTTGTCATTTTGTAAAGTACTGAAAAAATAATACATTGCCGAAAAGGTTTCATTTAAAGGGTAATACCACAGGATTTTGTTGACAAACTCAACCATAAGACCATTATGTCCACAGGGTAAAAATACTGATGTCATAGCTCTGAAATTACTGTTTGCATATGGATTTGTGTGGTGGTCTGAGTGAAGAAGATTATTGTAAAGCAGACAAAAATACATATATACATTTTATAGTTAAAAGGCCTGGTACAAATACTCAGCTTTTACACTGAAACTTATTTCAAACAAAGAAGGCTTTAAAAAGGCAGGGTTGTGATCTTTAAACCCTCAAATGATATATTATGGAGTGATTGTAAAAATAACTTGCGGTTAATGCGAGTCGTCACAGTTTCCAGTTTAATTTTTTAATAAACTGGTTCAAGTTCCTAGGCTCGCTACATTAACAAAAGTCTTACTCACCTGGTTTGGTTTCTTATAACATGCTGGGTCTTCAGACTTAAACATCAATTCTTTTAAAGTTAAACAACCCTGTTATGTGTTTCACTCATATATGTCCAATGGTAGAGAAACACTGTTGCATTCGATATCCCGTGGCAGTGATTTGGGGATAGTTTAAACTCTGTCGGGCACACAAGTGTCCAAAGGCGAAATTTATCCAATTTCCTAAATGGTTTTAAAACAGTACTTCAACAGGTGTTTCAGCCACCGACTCAAAAGTCAAAACAACATAAATTTACATCTCCGTGTTGACCCTCGGATTGTGATGTAAAATAATTGAAGGTAAATACATGGGCAAATTGTACTGACCACAGTTGTGTTTTCCTTTCATGCAGCTTCTACATGACCAAGTTGGTGTGGTTTTATTTGAACCATATAAGCCGCTTTTCATGCTGGCTTTTGGTCGTGGGAGAACAGCTCTTCCAGCCAACCCTGGAGGCCCACCATTGTTAGGGCATCCTCACAGAAACTGGTAAGATGTTGGTGTCTTTAAAGAATACATTTTAAAAATTTGCAAAACTTCTAATTTCTTTTGTTAAATCTAAATTGCATTTTTGTATTTTTGATTGTACAGTGCGACTACTGTAACTGGAACCACTAAAACAAAGTTGACCAATCAGATTACAGGAAGTAGCAATACATTCCGAGAAAGTTGGTTGTGGGCCAATTAGCAACTCATAAAAAAAACAATAAGTTACTTGACGCTCAGCATTTCAATGTTGATAGCAAACGTTTTCAAGAAAGAAAAATGTTTCACCAGACGACGTTTTTCTATTCTAAACGTTACATACAACCTCATGGAGACATATTTGTTTGACACAAGCTGTTGTTCATCTACCAGCAATTTCTTCACTACAATTGCCGCTCTTTACAATAACATGCTCCTTTAAGTCAATAATATAGCTAACATTTATGCTTTTTGCTTCTGTCATTCACTCTAACGGACCTCTCCGGAAACACAGGCTTTCTTCAGTGGGTTCAAAGGTCACATCTTCTGGTTGTAATAATTACAACCAATCAACAATTATTGGTTGATTTCGACCCATGTTGTTGATTTTGTATCATGGTGATAACATTATGATTGACAACTAACTTTCTTTGAATGTATTGTTATTTTCCTGTAATGCGATTGGTCAACTTTGTCAAAGTAACCTTGGTTGTAGTAGTTGCACTGTAAAGTAAGAAAGTCCAAAATCATTCTGCTATTATTTGGTTTAGGAGTGAAAGTCTGTGGGTTTCTATTATTGTGAAACTCTGTTATTGTACCCAAGTAGATGCCAATGCTAAACAAGAAGAACAAAACAAGAACATAAAAATTCTTACGGAGCCCGTAAAAAAGTGTTCTCTGTTTTCTTTCAAAACCCAAACTAGGCAGCTGCCAGGTTACTTTTGAGAATGAATTTTGCATACGTTGCATAGGTCTAAATTCAGAGCTTAGTGTCAAAAAGGTCTTACTCACCATTGATTGATTTTGTCTATGTAGGAGAGAGGCTGGAGCCAAAGGTGGCCTACCAGCAGTAGGCCTTAAGCTAAACACACTTGTGCAGAGATTACAGGTTAGTTCTTCCCATTTTTACAAAATTCGTGACTCTCTACATTCCAGGTCAAGTTGCTCAATGGATAGTCTCCTACACAGCTGTTTTTTCTGTTGTATGAGAATCTAATGTCAAATAATTTCTGTGAAACACATGTTCTGAAAAAAGTGTGAATTCTAAACTAAAGCATAACAAATTTTTGGGGCCATACCTGTGCTTGAATTTCTCCAGATGCTTGCTTTAGATTTTCTACATATTTGCTTGCAATTTTCCCGGGAAATTTTAGTTGGCAGCCAGAAAAATTTTTACAGACAAATACATAGAAAATTTTAAAAAGTGGCTCTAGTGCATGCAGCTGCACGTAACACCCTAAAGATTTTTCAGCAGAATCCATAGGAGTGAGGCTAAAGTATACAGTTCATATTTTTTTCAGGACAGCTGTTTTACGGAAATTGTTTGACACTAGATTCTCATACAAACACTGTAATTTCTCACGCGGTTGCCTGCTTGTCACGATGGCTTCTGAAACCGTGACAAGGTCTATTTAGGACTTGACACGGTTACCAACTGCCGAATCAACCCTTTTTGTTTCTAACAGGCTGCCTATCAACTGACAACAGGTGGAAAGTTTCAGGAAGCAGTCCAAAAGTTCCATGCAATTTTGTTGAGCATCACACTTCTGGTTGTTGACAGCAAACAGGAGATCAGTGAAGCTCAGCAGTTGTTAGGAATCTGTCGTGAGTATATTGTTGGACTACAGATGGAAGTCAATAGAAAGGAGCTACCTAAGGTGAGCACTGAGAAATTATTTGATCAAAAAATCCTGTGACAGTATTCTGAAAGGTTATGGGTGTGATTCTCATTGGGAATTTTCTTTTTCTAGTTAGCCTGTGATTTATTATTATATTGAGTGATTACCGGGACTTGTAATAGACACATAAGAAACCATGGAGCAGATTCTTATGATTTAAGAGGAAGTGGTAAAGCTTGAAATCACTGACGGTCTTTGAAATGATTACCTAATTACTACACCCTATAGAAACTCATTAACTTGAATCCCAATATTTAAAACTAATTTTACTTTTCGTTTTGCTCAATTTCCTGTGAAACATAACTTTTCAACCTGCTAACTAGAATCCCCTGCTTACTCACTCTATTTTTCCGCTTTGGGAATTCTCAGCCTCTCCGGCACTAACATCAAAGTTTGTGTATATTAAAACAACTCCCTTTTTTCCACAGTCCACCCTTGAAGAACAGAAAAGGATATGTGAGGTTAGTCTTTACTAACATTGCAAATAATTATTTTTAAGGAATAAAACAGTTTTCCATAATTAGTATAAGTTTTGAGGGCAGTGCATGCATTTGGAAATTTTCATTTCTGCTCTTAGAGAATTACATGATTCTGCCTCCAAAACCTCTGCATTTTGATTACATTGGCATTTCGTGAAACCCCTTACATTTATCAAAAATCCCAGGGAAAAAGTATTTGAAAAACTTTGTGGAGTGGTAACAATAATAGATGTTAGAATATGTAAATTTTATGTGATAGGCTGATTATTGACATTGATATAGCCTATGTGACACTTGTTTATGATATCTATACATGATCCTTGAGGTTAGAGCCTTATAATGTAGAATCAGTCTAGCTAAAAGCCTTGATTAAAGAGCACTTCACCAACTCCTGTAGAGCCTTTTATGTCTCCTGTTAGTAGACCAAACAGGGTACCCTGCTTGTTACCGGTACCGTAGGATCCTCAGTGAGGGAGCAATAGGAAAACAACATATTTTACTCTGGTTTCACATTGACAGCTGACCATGATATTATATAAAATTTATTGCAGATGGCTGCTTATTTCACCCATTGTAATCTTCAGCCAGTGCATCAGATCCTTACACTCAGAACTGCTGTCAATCTTTTCTTCAAGGTTTGAACCTCTCTCCTTACTATTCTCTTTTGTTTATGTGTTTATTTATATGTTTATGTCTATTGTATGTTTATTAATTTTATGCTTTTTTTCATAGTTGTGTTCTTTTTTTGTTTGTTACTTACTTGCAGTGTATATGGGATGTACATGTAGCCTTTTCTTTTTTTCCATGCAGGCACTCTACCCGATAGATTTAAAACGATAAATTATTTGTTCATACTTATTGGATAAACATGTCATCATTAATTATTATTTTTTCTCTATTATAATAATAAAAATATTATTATTATTATTATTATTATTATTATTATTATTATTATTATTATTATTATTATTATTATTATTATTATTATTATTATTATTGTAAAATTCTTATCATTATTATATTTTGCAGCTTAAGAACTTCAAGACAGCTGCTTCATTTGCACGCCGGCTGTTGGAACTAGGACCCCGCCCTGATGTGGCAACCCAGGTTAGTTGGGTACTATTAAAATGTGCAAGTGTTGTTAAGAGTTAGCTGCAATGCAATATTATTGCCTTTGAAAGTAGCAATGGAGCCTTTTCACAGAATGTCATGTCAGCCATGTTGGTTTCCCAGAAAAATAAACGGGCAGCCATGTTGGTGTCCCACACTAATCCTGCGGGAGTTGAACTCTTTTCTTTTGTAAACACTTTCTGTGATCGCAGTAAATAAATAAATTTGCATATGTGCTGGCCCAGGAATGAAAACACTTCATAAGCTACAGTATTATAGGGTATGTGACATTACTTTAAAGCTGCAAAATGTATAAATAATGGTGTTGTAGTCTTTTGAAAACACTTATTGCAGTGCCTTTTAAACTTGTGCAGTTGTTGTTTTTGAGAATTTATTTTGTTAAAGCAGTATTAACAGATTTTTAGATTTGTACAAAAATACCCATGTAATAATTTCATTAATGTTGCATAGTCTGTCAGCTATTAAAAAGGATTTGTTGTTGTTATAGATTCGCAAGATCCTCCAAGCCTGTGACAAGAATCCAACGGATGCACATGTACTTCAGTATGATGAACACAACCCATTCACAATCTGTGGATCCTCTTACAAACCTCTTTACAGGTGTGTTTGAAACTTTTCTCAATATCTTGTGTTGGTGCACAAAAGTTGATTAGCCTTTAAGCCACAAGACGTTAATAATCAAAATGCGATTCAAAATGTAAATGTCATTCTTAAAATGCAAAGAAGCAAAATAATGTAATACCATACAAAAGTGCTACCGGCAGAGTGAGGTTGATTTGAATTAAGGGTTCTCCAGTAATGTAATGCAGAAGGACTTTATGAGCACAGCCCTTTCACAATCAGTGGATCCAGCTCTTAGAGATTACATAACATTTTGAGCAACCAGAGAATGAATTAATTTTTGTCGTGAGGATGGCACCTTCATTTGCCCAGCGTATTTTGTATTTCTTTGTCTTTATCAAACAAATGTGTTGAGAAACAATATTACAGCAGATGCATTTTCCCACTTAAAATTACCTTCAGGGAGAAGACTATGCTTCAGTGACAACTAGATGTCAATATTTTCGCTGGTCACTGGAGCTTCTAGCAAACCCTTTTGAATGGTCACACCACAGAAAATTGTTCCCCAACTCTATCCAAACCTATCACTTGTCAGACTATTAAAGCACTGAAAAGGTTGAGGTTCTGGTCAACATCTGTAGAGAGAAGGGTATGACATCACACTACTATGGTAGCAAAATGTGTGGATCTCAACAGTCTTTGTTGATGGAGAAGGCCATTTGCATTGTCAAATGATACAAGAAAAGTATGGGCTACTGTTTTGTTCCTTACTGCAATCATGCACAGGAAAGTCATAAATGTCAATTGTTTTCGTTTTTTTTTTCTTGCCATATTTGCAGGAGGTCGGTTTGTTAAGATCCAGAAATTTTGATGCCATGGCTTCTCTCTGTTGGAGGGATGACGGGTGTTAACAACTTATTTCTCTTTGAATTCTCAAAAACCAGCTTTTTGTTTGTCTATTCAGGGGCAAGCCCCAGGACAAATGTCCTCTCTGTCAAGCTTCATACTGTCCAGAATTCAAAGGAACCATCTGCGGTGTTTGTAAGGTAGCAGAGGTCGGTAAAGATGCTATTGGTCTCAGAGTGAGCCCACTGCAGTTCAGATGAAGTTGTTCAGGAGAACTTAGGCCCAATACTTTAAATTACCAGAAGTGCTTAATTTGATGTTTAAAGAACAAAGCTGTTAGTCAGCATCCATAGACTGAGATGTGGGAACATCTGCATATTAAGAATTCTTCCTTCCTTTTATATCAAACTAAAGAAAAAAAGGGAATGCCGTATGTTTCTTTTCTCCAGGGTGGAGGAAACATATTTGTTAACTAAGTAAAAAAAAACTGCTATAAAATTTATGAGACACAACTAAGCAGGGCAAGAGTGAAACTGCCAAATAATGCAAAAGCTTGCCTTCATTGCAACTTTCATTCTTCTCTTTAGTTGATTTTCATTGTTTTGCATTTTTCAAGTCTAATCATACATAAACAAATAATAATAGATACACTTTGAATTTTCTTCGGTAATCTTTGTTTTAAAATAACCTTGCTGTTTAGTGGTGTCTATCTGATAGTCTTTCTGATGGAGAATTATAATCACAATAATTTCAACTTGTGGTCTAATATCCTCTGTCTCCAAATATGTGCCAAGTGGCATTAAATCTTACACAGATATTGCTCTGTTCATACCATCAAAACTAATAACCATTACATGAAAAGGTACCAAAAAAATAATATTTCCAAGTCGAAACAAAAACCCCAAAGCCATTTCTTAGTTGTTTCAAGCCTTTCTTTGAAACAAGTGTGGAGCTGCATTTTTCAAAAATGAGGGGTTTTGGATCAGAAATGGCCTATATCCAGTTAGTAGCATAGCAGTATGTGTTGCATGTTCCTAATTATAGAAATAATGATATAATGTGATCAGAATAATTAGGATTAGGATCTTGAGACGTTTTTGTCGGAAAAATGTAATGTTTTTATGATTGCAATAAACGTAGTGAAAGTGGCAGACGACCAAATTTGCTCTTTCTAATATTGAAAGTCACGACATTTCCCATGCAGGGTTGATGCAGAGTCTTATTAATTTATGCACTCTGTCTTCAGATTCCCTTTTTTTATTCATGTGTGGGACAATTTCTGCTATGCTATGAATGGGAAACACTTGAGGGACAAAAACCTAGGCATTGACATCTGGTTTTCAGAATCCAAGTCAGACTAATTTTGTTATTTTTAAACTAAATCAAATGGAATTGTGGTATACTGCTAGGAGTCACTCAGGATTTTGGGCAGGTTTCTTCATTGCCTGTTCTTTCTCCAGGTCTCTCTGCCACAGCTGCTGTGAGTGTCTCAATTTGCCAGCAATTCTCCTTATCTCAGATGAGGAGAGTTGCAGGCACTTGAAAACATTCACAGCTGTAGACTGAGCCTATGGATGTGCCAGCTTTTACTCGTGACTGACGCGTAAAAGACTGCTGGCATAATTGAAACAAAGGCCCCACAGTACCCTGTCTTGTGATGTGGATATTAAACAATTATTCCTCGAGCCCAAATGGGTTCTGAGCCAATAGTCCATGAGGCCGAAGGCCAAATGGGCAATTGACTCAGAGGCCACAAGGGCGAGAGGAATAATTGTTTTAGTAAAATCCAACTAGTCGGTCAAAAATATCGAGACGACACAACTTTAGCTAGTTGAAGCTAGATTTTAATCCTTTTTTGCCGCCAAAAGGCCAGTGCTTTTCGCTACTAGTGGGCTATAACATATAGCCTAGTAGTAGCTCAACCAATCAGAATACAGCATTGTTAATAGACCACTAGTTGGATTTTACTAGGGGAAGGAAGGTCCAATAGCGCGGAGCTAGTGGATTTTGCCATCGGGCTAGTGAATTAACAGAAGAACAGAACTGTAATCCACTTTTCTCATGAAAAAGATTTTTCGGGTTAGCTTAAGTGAATCTTGGGCTAGTAAATGCTAGTCACATCTTCCCTGTGAGTTGAATTGGGTTTTTTCCACGATTTTGCTAGGGTTGTAAAATTGTTTAGCAGGATGTAGTGTGGCGAGGGCATATTTGAATATCACTACCAAGAGTCAGATGTGACATATTTATAGCCAACGCATAGCCAATGACCCTTCTCTTGCCACTTTCTTTCTTCAAAGGGAGGGTGGATGTAGGATAGTTTTTAAATGAACTCCTCTTTTGGGTGAGATATAATATCAAGATTCAAGGACATGCTATCACAGTACTCAAATGAAACAGCCAAAGTGTTTATTGCACCATGTCTTTTCTGTCTTCTAGCATTGTCCAAACCAAGGGTTACATCCTCTCTTTACCATTAAATATAGTTAGAAAGTTGTGTAATCCCTTGTTCCTTGCTATGATTTTCCAACTCTCTCTACTTATCGCCATCTATCAGTGCTTACTGTAAACTCCTATCAATAGCAGCACATAATTTGCACTGATCTGACTAGTCTATTAGTAATAATATTAGTATTGGTCTTATTTAAAAAGAACAAAAACTCTCCTAGCTTGCCACAGTAATGTTGTTAGGCGTTGCTGTCTGTTTCCTCCCCATGAATGCCGGAAAGGAATGCATAAAAAAACCCTAAGAATGTCTGCATCGGAGGATACAAGTCTCCATGATCACTTTTTACTTAATGACATTTATTTTTTACCAGACCTGAACAAATGGCCATTATTTGCTAAGCCAGCTGTGGTGATTGAGAATAACCTTGTTTAAGGTTTCGTGTGTACTGCATCAAATGAGAGAAATCAATGATATGCTAATGAGAAGAGTGATAAAATGGCTGCATGCTTTGGATGTGAAACGCCAGCCCTGGTTCCTGAGAGGCCGATTAGCCCTAATCCTGGATTAAAAACTGTTCCATTGTTGTATTTAGCTTCCTATGCATTTCTTTGAGTAAAATTCTATGTTATCATCTCTGAAATTATCGGTATTTTGTAAGCTTGAGTGACATGTACTTAGACAAGAAAACCTTGTTTAATATTTGGCTTAATCCTGGGTACAAAATTAATAACCATCTTTCAAGGAACCGGGCCTGGGATAATATTATTGATGTCAAGGTTAAGGTTATTTGTAGGATTTTGGTAAAGTGTAAAGCGGTTTAAAGTGATGAAAAAATTGGCAGATGATTTCAGAAGCATTTCACTTGTTATTTACTTGTTTTGGCAATGTGAGATGTAATAAAAATAACACAATACTATTAATAAGTTACATCCAAGATCTATTAAACTATTAATGACATTTCCTATAGCTCCTACCACAAAACATCAAACTAAACTTTATAAAAATTAACACTCTCAAGAAAATTATGTTATTTGTTAACTGTATTTTTAACGAGATGTCAGTTCTCATAACTTAATGTAATTTTTTCTTCACTAGATTAGCTGTAAATGGTCAACAATATTAATATTATATATGTCTCTATGTATGTTTGTTTGTTATTTTGGTCTTCCTAAGCTATATAATAATAATAAAACTGTTACACTATTCTGGATGAAATGAACTATATTACGTACAGTACCTTAGAACACACAGCCTACTCTTTTTTATCTGCTGTTTAATACATACTCAAGCAAAATGCTCAGATACACGTGCCATTTAAATGCTGTTAATTACAACTGAATGTGTTTAACGTTTATTTAAACTTTGAAGCCATTTCTTCAAGTTCAGACATCAGTTTGTCTTTGTCACTATCAGAAGCTTTGCTCCATGCAAGTGGTAAATGTGTTGCAACTGCTTTCCTGTCTTGGTAAAATAAACCACTGGTCTCCTTAGACATATCAGCAACAGCCAACCATACGATTGTATCTGCTCCCTGTTCTGAAGTTCGAAGACGATCCTTCATTTTTTGATGGAAACCTGGCATTGATGACCTCACTGCTGGAGTATCAGCCCAACCTATAAATTAATAATAATTAATGATTTAAAAGAGTTATCACTCTTTAAATTGATCTTGATCAACTTGCTGGCTTGCACTGTTCTTCAAGATAGGGGGAAATCTTTTCAATGGTTACATAATATGGGAAAGAGATACTGTAATCACACTCATCTTGAGATCTATCTTCATGTTCTGTAGAAGAACTCTTTAAAGCTCTTTGGATCTGGAATCATCAGTGATGCCCCTTCATTGGCAGACAAACACACCAACAAAATAATGTCCATAAGTATGTGAGACACTGAATTAAACTTTTTGTTGAATGTGAAGAGCTGAAAAAGCAGTTAGCATTACATGATTAATGATCTAGCATGTTGCAGAGCCTGTTCCAGGCTCTCAAATAGTAGGGATGACACATGAGTGAAAGGCACATGGAAAAATCAGCGCGTGATCTGGGTAAGAGGGCAGTGGCAGAGAAGAGTTCCCAGTTTTTTCCTTTCTCAATTTGGTGAACCCGACTACCTCTCAGAGCCTATTAGGGTGTCTGTAACATAGCAAGTTCTCTGAGAGTTGGCTTCATTATTAGTTCAACAATGTTACCTGGATGCATGGAAGAAAAGAAGATTTCCTTGTACTTTTCTGCCCACTTTTCAGTCATGACAACTTGCTGCCGTTTGTTTTGTGCATATGCCATGGTGCCATCAAATGGGTTCATTCTTTCAAACTGAAGGTCTTTGACATCAAGTTTCTGCACAAGCATACCCCCTGTAATGGAAAAAAAAAACAAGGGTAATGACTTAAGTGACTCCAGTTCTTTCACAAAATAACAATACTTCCCCACAGGGTTTATTTTACTGGTCCGAGATCCCCTCGTTGATCAGCTCAGACCTAGCTAAGCTCCATCTGGCGTAAAATTTCATGAGGGAGGCAGCCCTGAGCCATGTTAATTTTGTGAAAAATTTATGGTAGCTCTTCACCTTCTCCAAATATATATCCTTTATTTGTCCAACTTTCAGAAATTTTAATTTGCCTGCAACTAAATATGGAAAGCGTACTTCACCTTAGTTGTTTCCAGAAAATAGTGACTCGATGGATTTCGGGAGTTTAGTCTAGTAAGTCTAGTACAGGGTCGCGACGTTTACCTCCACCAGGTCGAGTATTATTATAGGCCAAGGGTTCTATGATGCCGTCACAGCAGTTTCTCCCCACCCAAACATTTCTGAATTCCCCCCCCGCCCCCTCGATGTTTACAAGGTGGTTCAAGGTGAAGAAAATGTAAATTAAATCACTTTGGCAGTACTCTGACAGAGTACTACTTTTACTTTTTTTTCATTGGGTTTGGGGCAGAGGGAAGGGGAGGTGCACTTTATCAATGGGGGTTCAAAACAAGGCAATTATTGACAAATGGCCTCAACATTTTCAAATATAAATGACATTCAAATCATGGATAGTATTGTAGCCTGTGAACTGCAAGGATTGGTGATTGGGGGGGAGGGGAGGGAAGGCATTTACCCCATGAGGCGCTTTGTTTCAAATTCAAAGAAATTTGTTACTTGAGGGAAGATACAGTATGAGAGATATTTTTTAAATGCGGAAACGTAATTTAATTACTTTCCCACGACAAGTCGCAAGATTTCTTCCCTATGATTACGTAATCTGTAATGCAAAGAATGCATATGGCGATAGCTAAATTAAACTTGAAATGAAAATAACTTTGAACATCTGTTACCAGGTTAGGAGCAACATTTTGACATACTTTTACAAACCTGAAGAGACCGTAACAACTCTTGGTGATTCCTGCTTCAAAAGAACTGGAACCAGTCCACTGGTCAGAATGTACGTGCCCAAAGCATTGGTGGCGAAGTTCTTTTCCAAACCATCCTCGTCAACTTCTCTAGTGTTCACCATGCATCCAGCGTTGTTTATTAACACATGGATAGGCTCACTAGACGATGAAAACTTTTCTACAAACTCCCAAACCTTTCTTGGGTGGGACATGTCCAAAAGGTGAAGTTTCACTCTGTCATTTCCAGAGACTTCAGTGATTTCTTTTCTCGCCTCTTCGCCTCTTGTTTCACTTCTACAGACCATGTGAACTGTAGCTCCTTTCTTCGCTAAAAAGACAGCTGCGTCTTTTCCAATACCACTGTTAGCTCCAGTGATCATAAACGACCGAGAAGAAATGTCAACATCAAGAGCTTTGGGATCGAAGGACTTCTCTGCAGCGAGATAGCCATTTTTCGTGTACTCCCGGAATCCTTTGCCGAACCAGACTAAATTTCTATAAAACGTCATCTTGCTGAATTTTTGGTTAGCTCACCAATACCTAAAGACAGTTGTGTACAGAGACGCTCAATAGAAGCGTTATGCAACCCTTCCAGCAGAAAAAGGAGAAAAAGGATTGTATATATACTGACTTTGCTGAACAGAAGGCTTGGCTACTTTTTAATATTGCGTGACTTCACATGACATAAATAGATCAACGTGTAACGTGTGCAATTTTTTCACACGTCATTTCCACCTTATGACCACCTTCGCATGCTGATACACCATCAATGCATACACACGTGCACGTAAACTCAAAATGGACTAATTCACATGAATTATTTTAAAAATTCAGAAGTACATTTGCATTTAAAAAACAAAACGGGCAAACGGGCAAACGGGCAAACGGGCAAACGAGCGGGTACTCAACGAGAGCACTGTTTTTAGGGCGTGCTCGTGAGTGGGACTACCCGCGTGCGTTAACGTGATTATTAGGCATGATTAGGCATTAAGTGAAATTAGCAAGGTACTAAAAATAAATTCAGCGCAGCAGGTCTTTTTATAAACTTCTACCACGCAAGCAATGGCCTTAGCTGCCACGTAAATGTTACGTGAAAAAGAGGCCCCAATCGATCATGCCCGTCACTTGAAATCTGGAGTACAGTATACCGCCCCCCCCCCCCCCCCCCCCCCCCCCTGGGCTGTAAGGGAGCCCCTAAACTTTTCAAAAAATTCAACAACCCTCACCTTTTACATTTTTGAAAAACCCCCCAAAGCCTTTCTTAAACCCACCTTTTTTTTATTTTTAAAAATAATTTTTTAGGGGATTTTCAAGAATTAATAATTTAATTTTTTAAAAAATAAAAAGGAGGGGAGTTATGAAGGGCCTTGAATGGTTTTGCATAAATGAAAAAGTTGGGGGGGGTTCAACTTTTGGAAACGTTTACGTGCTCCCTTACACCCCATGGGGGGGGGGGGGGGGGGGGGGGGGCGGTATACTGTACTCCAGATTTCAAGTGACGGGCATGATCGATTGTACAAAGTACTAAAAAAAAAATCAGCCCAGCAGGTCTTTTTTAAAAATTCTCACCCCCAAGCAAGGGGCTTAGCTGGCCCGTAAAATGTACGGGAAAAAAGGGCCCCAATCGATCCTGCCCCGCCCCTGAAATCTGGGGTAAAGGATACCCCCCCCCCCCCCCTCCTCCCACCCCGATGGGATGTAAGGTAGCACGTAAACGTTTCAAAAAGTTGAACCTCCCTCAACTTTTACATTTATGCAAGACCATGCAAGGCCTTTCATACATCGCATCTATTTATATTTTAAAAAATTGAATTACTGATTACTTGACAGTCCCATAAAAGATTATTTTGAAAATTCAAATAATTTATTTTCCTTCGAAAAATCAAAACAACAAACTGAATATTTTGTGAAAATTTTATTAAAAAATCTATTGAACTATTGAAAGCCTCTAGATATGACTTACATATAGTTACATAATTGCTAATTCTGTTTATCATTATAAAGGCTTTGCTGGGGTTGGTTTCTATCTATTTATATGACAGACTGGAAATCCTAAAATAACCTAGCCTGAATTTCTGCTGTCTTCTCACATCACAAACTCCGTCTCTCTTGGGCGTCTGGGACTCCAAGAGTCAGGTGCAACTCAGGCTAAAAATCACCTTACAGAGAATTTTTAACCATGTGACCAACAGCTTCTTAAGTTTCTTTGAACATAAGAAGGTGTTTACATGAGAAAGGATTTCTCCACAGGCAGCTTAGCTTGCCTAGCAGGTGGAATTGTCTTTGCGCGTGTGAGAATTTTGGCAGGAAAGCTGCCATTCTTGATTCCCCACATGGCTTCACAGCTGCTCTGCCAAAACTTTGCTCGCACTAACGATCCCGCCAGCTATGCAGACTACAGGCAGCTAGGATTGCCTTAGCACACCAACATGGCCTTCACCTCATTTTCTTGTTACACCAATATGGACGAGTTGATGTCACATGAAGATGCTCTACACTTTGTATAAAAGTGATGCTAAATTTCTCAAACTCATTAACAACTCATGAAGAGAAAACAAAGAAAATCCTCACCATAAAGGAGGTCTAGATATCAGATTTTTATTTTAAAAAAATTCATAATATTACCTTAACATTTTTCAAACTTGAACTTTGAATTTCTTCAAGAATTAATAATCATTTGAGAAGCCATATCAAACAAATGAAGGTATGTTTTGTCCAATATCCAAAAATATCAGTGCAGGATGCAAAATGAACCTATTTTCTCCAAGAACCACTAATGGATCTTAAAATTTTAAAGTGGTGGCCATTCAAAAAAGTCAGTATAGTCAACTCTCTCTAAAGCCTGGTTCTCATATACCGCCAAAGTACCTGAGACAAAGCCGCTGATACTGCCTTCAATACTACTCCTCGATATAATGAGGACAATGCCACCAGCAACAAGAAACATCACAGGTCTTTACCACCGGCATGCCTGCGAAGTCAACTTGAGTCAACTTCGCAGTCATGCCAGCAGTAAAGACTGACATGGCCTCTGTTGCTGGCGACTTCTGTTCTCATTTCAGAATGGTGTCACAGGCAGTACCAGCAGCTATGTTGCAGGTAGCTTGGCAGCACATGGCAACCTGGCTTAAGACAGACACCTTTGAGACCCGCACTATGAGTCCAGCTTAGAAAGATGTCTGTCTTATGAATAGTCAACTAAGAGGAGTGAAGACAGGCAGGAACTAACCCTATGCGTCCTTTTCAGCAAGGTGTCCATTAAGAGAGAGTTGACTATAACCAGGGCCCAGTTGTTTGAAGGTCAATTAGCAGTATCCCAGGGTTAAGTTTAAATCTGGGTTTCTTATTCTTCCGTTCAAAAGCATTTTCTCGGATAATTTTCTCTTTCCATTATAGAGCATCAAATCATTGCTTGTAGACAAAAAGAATTAAACTGAATTTGCTTTTTAAAATTCATATCTGAATTTAAACTTTGCACTAACCCTGGTTTCTCTTAACCCTGTTTTGAACAAGCCGGCCCAGGTTCTTAAACTGCAAATTGGAAATGATGTTAGTTGTATGGTGTACATTAGAAACATCCAGTCTGCCACAGATTACAGTACATAATGGGGGTTAGACTACAAGTAGTCTCCCATTTTTCCTCAGGGATAGTAGAGCAAGCAAAACGCGAGCACGCATGAAAATCACCCCATGCGAGAAAAGGCGACATGCGGCAGGTGTTGCCTTTTCTCTCGTGAGGTGATTTTCACGCACGCTTGGTTTCACTTGCTCTACTATCCCTGAGAACAAATGGGGGACTACTTAAGGTCTAAATAGCAGTTGAACCACTTGACATCCAAGATGGTAGCAAGCAAAGATGTTTCAATACCTAATTTTGCTTCAGTTTTTTATTTAATTTCTAACTCACCTTCTGGCTTCACAATTCTCAAGGTTTTTAAGTAAGTGTGACAAAGAATTCTAGTCATCAATATGGCAGCTAACATGGCAGCTAATTTTCCAGATATGGTCACCACTGCCAAACATTTAGGCAAAATTTCATAAGGCCCTGAAGCAGTGGTTTGTAAAGATTAGCTAGGAACTAACCCACTACAGTCTGGATATTGGGCAGAACAACTCTTCTTGTGCTTGATAATTTACATCATTCTTGTTTATGATTCTATCAATAATATAAGCAAGTAACCAAAATGCATATTTTCATCACCTATAAATGGTGAAATGTCATTTTGTGGATTGAAATGACTTAAAATAATGCTTCTATTGTTCAGCATTAAAAAAATGATCATGTGGCTTCTAAAACTGTTCATTAGCAGCAGTTCCTTCCACTTACTCTTCAGTGACTCAAAGCCAATTTTCATAAAGGAACATGCTTATCTCTTTATGCCTTAATTAACTCAAGAGTCTGTCATGCTGAGTAAGTGTGTTGTTGCTGCATCAACACTTCCACCACTTGCTTCAAGAACAGATCGAATGACCCCCTCTTCCATATTGGGAAACATGTCCTTCAATCCTGCTATATCCTGTTCATTAATGGGCCTTTGTTGGGGTTGTTGTGGTGGCTGACCAGTAGGTACTGGCTGCCCGGGACCATACCCTCCTGGATAAACCACTTGTGTTCCCGGAACCACTGGCTGAGGTACCATCATGACGGGCATGTTAGGGTAGATCATTGCTTGTGGAGGTGGTGCAGGTACTTTCTACACAGGGGAAAGAAGAAGTCACTCACTTGAGAGAGCTGTAAAGCCTGAGCATTAATATATCATGCCTGAGTATTAATCACGTCAAGCAGTAATGGATTTACTGGAGCAGGCAACATACATCACATGTATAAAAAAACAAATCAGTCCTTTGCATTTGTGACATGCTATTGTAAATAATTTCTGAGAATCATTTTTACAGCTCTAAGTGGGTGTCTTGTCGTGCCTCCTACCAGCTATGGCCCTACACTAAGGCCAAAACTTTCTTGAAGAACTTTTGGCTCAAAAGTTCTCTTTTACTAAAAATCAAGGACACTGATATTTACTACTACAAGGTTTTCCTTCTGGCTTTTGTGTAATCAAACACCCTTAAAGATCCCTGCCAACCAACCCTCAAGCAAAGTAGCAATGCAAAGGTACCTATTAGTGCGCTCCCAGACCACTACCTCCTTGGATGGATTTTAACCTTGCCTTAGTTTCACTTAATGAATTGCAAAGCATTTCCTGAGAAATGTTTCAACTGTTTAAGAACCCTAATAATGTTGTGAGGATTATGGAATTATTACAAAGAAATGTTTACCCTGTATGCAAAAACTAAGTTGATCATTCCTTCCTTGTCATCTCCCTGTTTACCACTTAACGGGTACCAGTCCTCAAGTGTTTCTCCTGAAAACACTTCTTCTTTGATAGGAATAAGACCCCATGCAATACGCTCATCCATAGAGAATGCTCGCTGAAATGAAAATTAATAAAAAATAATACTTGATTCAAACCTCTGTAAGCGGACACCCCAGGGAGCAAGGTAAAGGGCCGCCTTGGGACAGGTGTCCTCATAAGGAAGGTTAAAAGTTTAGTGTTTGTTTATGGCTGGGACCATGATTGGATACAATAAAAGAGAAGGGTCCATTAGTGGTGCCCTCCAAGGGGGGCAGGGTAAATATATCTCTGCTAAGTCTGAATTTCAAAACCCAATGATTCACATAATTGAGGAGGCTGTGAAGCCACGTCCCTGTTGATATTTTCCGAGTTCGTACACTTTTTCTGCTGTAAAATTCATGGACTGTTCAAGAACCACATTTTTTAATTTCAAGGACATTATTTATTACTTTCAACACAGATTCCAAATAAACTATAAAAATATTCTGATAATAATGGGCCTTTTTGTTTAATGGCAACCATTTTTTATGAAAATTCCTTTGTGAGTGCTTATCAAAGAATTACCTTCCATAACGAACAAGATAAAAATAGTGACGATGCTTCTTATCAAATGTTCTTTGATTAAAATTAAAGGACTTTCAAGGACCAAAATGAACTAAAGAGAATTTTTTTACTACTGTTTTTGTACTTTTCTTCATTGCTGTCACCGTTTCAACCCATCTTTGTGTTGTGTGACAACATTTCAGCTGTCTTACACCGCTGCTTCAAGGCCATGCTGCTTGTTAAAATGTTACCCTAACAGGGTTTCGTTAGTGGAGGTTCAAATTATTGTACTGGCTGCATTAAGCATCCATTATTCTGTCTAACAAGCACCACAAAATTAATTCTCTTCCAGCAGCCTTAAACAATGGTAGCCATTTAAGAAATGAACTTTGGTAAAATGAGTCTGTGAAGTAAATTGTGCACTGGTATTCGTGTGGATAATTTGAGATCCTTGGCTGACATATTGGACAACTTGCTTGGACTAAAATATATTAACAACTTCAAAAAATCAGCTTCTGTAAGGAGTTGTTAAAACTGGGTAGGTCTATATTGATGACAGAAAACTAAAATACCTCATCAAAGACCTCGACATATATGTTAGTAACACCTTCTTGTATGGGTCTGCAAAAGAGAATAGCAAAACTAGTCTTATTTACCAACAAAACCAAAAGAATGTACAATAAACCTACTAAGGAGTTCAGTTTTTGTGAGTGTGTGTGCAGCAGTTTGTTTTTTCAGATATATTCTCTCTTTTTAAAAATAACATTAAATCTCAGTTATGCAAGTCCTCTAATGTGAGCTTTTTTTAGAATGGTAGTACAGTGTAACAATTCTTCCAACAATTTTTAGTTATTTTTCTAATGGATAAACCAAGGAACTGTTTGGAAATAAAAAAAAAACTTAAAAAGTGCAGCTCCAGCTTGCCACTGACACACACATAACTGACATGAATATCACATAAATGGAGGAAAACAAAAGACCATTCACAGTCAAGCAAGAAAGAAAGCTTCACGGTGAGATCTGGAACACTATCTGCAATGATACATACATAGACATTAACTTGTTCCATCGGGGACTTGTTGAGCCATTGTGGGCCGTTGGACTTTCAAATACATGGCTTCCAACTGTAATCCGACAGTAGGGATCCATACGTGTAATGCCATAATTCTTGGCAAGTTTGGCCTGCAAAAGTCAACTTTACTAATTATAACTAAGAATCATGTTCTCATCAGTGAGTAACATAGCTTGAAACTCCTTTAATTAATGGCAGGGTGCAAGAAGAAATTTTCTCAGAAGCATTTGTATCAGAATCTTATCATGGATTTTAAAATGCATTGCCTGCAATACAGTATTAAAAAAGCATGAAATTCTAGACGAGCCAGTTAAATTTATGTAGGGCAGTGAATTTGCAAAATCGGTTAATAAGCAGAAAAGAAGGAGTTTGGAATTTTGGTTAATAATTTTCGTAAATCCATTTCTTATTATAAATAACATCTTTTCTTATTATAATAGTTGTTTATGCTTAGCATAATTGAGAGATAAAACAACTGCATCAGGAGCATATTTTGGTTTGATGGGTTTAGCACATGCGTATCACAAGCTCAATAAGCACAAAGGCATGAGCTTTTCTAGGGGGTCAGGGGGCATGTTCTCCCAAAAAATTTTGAAATTTAGAGCTTCTGAATCACCAGAAAGGTGTTTATTTCTATTAACCCTGAGAAAATTTTGTCAAATTGTTGTCACCATTCTGTTAGTGTTTTGCATAAAAAGGTACATTTAACAATGAAAATTGTGTTTGCTCTAACACAAAGATTGGAATTACCTTTGGAAATTCATCTAAAAATATTCGTGGCAAAATTATTGGAAGGGCTTTAGCCCACCCAGTCCCATAGCTACATGGTCCCTGGATAATAAGATTTTACTGATTTAGTAGATTTAATAATATTTAACAACTTACGAACCTGTTGTAGTGTGATACTTAATCTTCCTAATGGTTGTTGTTGATATGGCTGCATGAATACAGTTGGCTGATAATATGGCATAGGCTGAACTGGGATTGTCTGCCCTTGATTAACTGCTGGCGATATGCGCAAAAAGTCATCGGGCAAATCCCCAGTCATTACATTTCCCCGAGAAGTTGTTTGAGCTAGGGATGAAAAATAAACCCAGCAACATGACAAATCTATCTCACACTACAGGAAATATTTTTAATTAGCCTGGATGGAGTGTTTGGTGCAATGGCACAATGGCAGATCCAGACCTTCAGATAAAGTGGGAGGGGGGGGGGGGCAGGCCTCCAAACCCCGAAAAAAGGGGGGGGGGGGGGGTAAAAAAAATTTTTTTTCCGCCCTTCAGGCCCCAGTTTGGTCCAAAAAAAAGGGGGGGGCGGGCTTCCCGGGCCCCCTCCCCGGACTCCCCCACTGTGTGTTCCATACCCCAGCTGTTTTTTTATTAACAAAAAAAACAATAAAAACAAAGCCTACAGTCACAAAAACATTTATGTCATTGTAGAAAGAGTTTGTGGAGGGGGCGGGGGGGGAGGTGGGGAGGAGGCGAAAGGGGGGGAGCCGGGGTGTGGGGGAGGGGGGGGGGGGGGGGGGGGGGCAGTCATCCAGACCCTGAAATAAGGGGGAGGAGTGGTCTAAAAAAAATTTTTTTTCAGCCCTTCAGGCCTCAGTTTGGTCCAAAAATAAGGGGGGAGCGGGCTTCCCGGGCCCCTTCCCTGGATCCACCACTGTGATGTTCATATCACAAGTCTATTTGTATATCTACCAACTACTGTACCTTACAAGTCAGCTCTCACCCCTGGAACTCAAACACTTTGATCTCATGGCAGCTTATACCTGAAGACCATTTTCTCATACCTCTTGATGGAGATGTTTGAGCTGGTCAATAGGCTTAACTTACACATTTTTTAAAAAGATATTTATAGAAGAATAAATCAAAACCAAAACGAGAAAAGAAAAGTCCACATAATTTTCCAGAAAACTCTCATTTTAGAATGTCTTTGGAAGTTTTTGGACATCTTGGATATGCTCAAGTCCTGTACAAAAATTATGGTGCTGATGATAACAAACTCACACCTTTGACTCAAAAAAGTTGGCAAGTGCATATTAAAGTTACAGGTCAAAATTAAATTCAGGTTAAACTTTTTTAACCTACATAGATACTCAATTTTCTTTGTCTCCTAGCTCTAATTTATGAATAATTTTTAATAGCCTCTTTAGGGATAGGAGACAAAGAGAATTGAGAATCAACCTAGTTTAAAAAATTTTCAATTGAATTTAATTTTGACCAGTAACATTTGCATTGATATTAAAAAAATAATAAAGTACAATTAATTAGGAGGTATTAATAATATTGCACATTTCAAAAAGGCCCTGTTAGGGTAAAATTTCAACAAGTAACAAGCTCTGAAACAGAGACATAAGACATACATGTAAAACTGTGACAGATGATACAAAGATTGCTTGATTTGAGACAAAATGAGACAGAATACACGAATTAAAATGTTATGACAAAATAACTATTTCTAATTTTAGCAAACTCATCATGATTTTGGCTCCGAGCGTGTCAATTCCTTTTCCTGGCTGTTAGCAAGCATTACAAACCAATGTTTCAAATATCAGGTAAAATAATTCAGAGAACGAACTAAAACAAAAAAATGTAATCTCAAGGATTTTGTCAACGCCAGGGTCTTTGTTTACTATCAGCCTTATTTTTGGGCTTTATTATTTTGAAAGTTTCTGTTTACTTTTTAGTCGCTACAGTTCAACGAAAATGCTCTACAATCGCTAAGAAATTTTGGCCACAAAACAGGAGTTTATCTCAATGTCGTTATACAGTTCATTTCAGTAACAGTATTATAAATTAATATGACGCTACTAAGAGGAAGAGGATCTTACCTGATTGAGCGGCCATTTTGAGAAAGATGAAAGCCCATGATGCTTTTCTGGAAATTGCGCGTGTTTGCGTGGGTGGTGAATCGAACCTGTCCGCGTGCACAAAACAGGAGAACACAATACTAGCTAACCTGAGATCAGGCTCTATTTTCGTTTCGCTTTGAAAATGACATTCCAGCGGGCAAGGCGAAACAGAGAGAATGTATGAGAACCGCCAAAATTGGGCCTGATCTCAGGTTAAATACTAGCCAATACGTTATTTGCACTTTGAACTGGAGTTTGACCGTGATCCTTATATCTGTGGATTGTGGCCAGCCATATATATCCAGGGTGACTGAAACTAGGCCAAAAAGTGATAACCGATTAGGAGGTATGAACGCATTTCTGGGAATAAAAAGGACTTTAAATTGACGTTATGTTCCAACATACATCTTCAGAAGTAATAAACTAAACTAAATAAATCAATAAACTAAATGGGCCTTGTCTGAATGTATGTTGGAACATACGAAACGTCAAGTTAAAGTCTTTTTTTCCTTTCCAGAAATGCGTTTATATTTCCTTATGTTCAGGTTATCACCGCAGTTTGCTTTTTGTTCCTTCTTAAGATAAGATGGCCAAACAACAAAAGTAGTACGATGAAGCTAGGCCTGTTCCTATTGTGCTCGGAAAATTTTGAGCAATTTTTTGCAGTTCCAGCAACCTCGAGCAATATTTTGACTTTCTGGGCAACTTTTGAGCAAAATATAGGTTTAGAAAAACAATGTAATTGTGCGATGTCATGAGGGGATTGTCCTCTCTTGAACACTTAACCTAATTCACTTGTGTAGTTACTAAAACAAGGAATGATCGACAATGACCTACAATGACCTACAATGACCGAACGAGGGGACATGAAAATACGCTTAACATCCCTGTAATAAGCTAAAATGAAGAGTTTAGAAAAAGACAAAAAAAAGATCAGGGGACATGTGTGCATAAATGTATCGTGTTTAGTCTACTGCATGACAGCCCAAATGATGACAGCATCTTTAATTATTACGCTTGGAGATAAATTTACAGTGTAATAATACATGTATGATGATAATGAAAACCATCCCTTGCAACCTTTCCCGTTAGTTGTGTTTTGTGTTGTCTTTTTTTCAAACAAATTAAACAAACACAGTCACCCCAACAGTCGATCCGGGGGGATCTTCAACGGACGTTTGGGTATAGATGAACAAACGAGGCCCTCAAATAATTCTGACCCTGGTTAAGAGAAAAATTGTTTATTTAAGTACCCTGGCCAGTATAAGACATCATAAGACCCTTTACCGTTAAATAAAAGCCCGGGGCGTTTATTTCATTTTAGGGGTCCAAGAGGAGTCGTTTAAGAGACGGGAGAAGCGCGTTTTAAAAGAGAGAGGCGTTTATTCTCGTAACTTATTTTAACGAGCTCAAATAACTTTATACAGTATGCTTTCGGCTAAAAACGTTTTTGTGTTAACAGAATCTCGACAGCGGGCCTGATGGCTTATCTAGAAATTGAACATGACATAATACACAAACTGATGTTAATCAAGCAATGAAATTAATAAATTGATTGATTTCGCTCTATTTCGCCATTTACTAGTATTTTGGGGCAATTTTCAAGGGGGGCGTTTAATACTAACTTAGCTTAACAGCGTAAGGGGGGTGGGGGGCGTTTATTACCGGGGCCTAGCCGAAGGCTGGCACCGGTCATAAAATGCAACGCGTTTCTGTGTTTTCAAAGTTACATTGTTAGGGATATATCGCTGACTGAGATATATCGCTGGCTCGTTACTTTTGTGAGTGTTCGCTGAGATATATCGCTGGTTCAGAAATTTGAAGTAGGGAGCAACAACTGTAACCATGTAAATATTAATTCGAGTAGTTTGCACATGGAATGGTTTAATGCGACTATATTTACCACTTATCAATAAATGAGATCCCTGTCTATTGCAAAATATTGTTACAGTATTCATCCTTGCGATGACAAAGCTTGGTCGACGTAGAACTGTGTACACTACGACAAAGCAAAAATCTTAACTTGTTAAACTTGCATGCGCCAAGCTTTGTTTATGCGTTTCAATATCTTATAATTCGCACTCCCTACAGGAAACTTCGTCACATATTTTCCGACAAACAATTAAAACTCATTAGGAGAAAGTCTATCACTGCTTTGACTTATGAAGCAACAAAACAAAATATTTTCAAATAACCTTTGTCACGCAATATTTACGTTAGCGAGATGCGCAAATTCTAGCATGAAATTCATCCGATTGCTTCGAGTCGTTTTCTCCTCTCAGTTACTGAGGGAGTAATAACGAGTCGAAGTAATCGGATGAAATTCAGGCTACGCGAATTCTCAACTGTTCAAAATGCGGGATTCCCTAACATTTTGTCTTTTCACATTATTCATTAGACGTTGATGTAGAATTTTTTTGTTTTTCCCCTTGGTATTCTTAGCTACTTTGGATTCTTGTTGCTAAGAAATATGTTATTATTATGTAATCGATCTGAGCACGTGAGAAAAACTGCGTAACTCGACAGCCTAGGATTGGGAGTTGACTCATGTAAACGTATTGAGCCCTCATCTATTGTTCTGTAGTTTTAATTACATGTGCGGTCAGTATAAAACATGGACTGCGGACTGCGGACCACGGACTGCGGACCGGGTGTAAAGTACGGACTAGGTATAAAATCCGGACTCCGGACTGAGTATAAAACACGGACTGGGTATAAAACGCGGACTAAGGACTGTGTAAATAAAAATAGCTTTAGAAAGGTAAAACTGAGAGAAATGGAAAGCGGACTAGCAAAAACAGTAATATTCCAAGGGATGATTATGATGACATGATTTACACCCTGCTCCTGATGCCCGGAGGGGGGTACTACTAGGAATTCTTGGTGGGGGTTGGTGCCCGGTTCTCCGAATCCTGACCTTATTGCAGACCAAAAAATATTATTTTCCACACCCATTTTCAGACCAGATCTCTAAAATCCATACCCATTGTCGGGTCTTGTCGGTCCTGGCCTAATTTGGCCTGTTCCCGGCTCTCAGATAGCTGGGGAGACTCCCCAGTTTTTTCCCGTTTTATTTTCGTGTTCGCGCTTTCTCAATTCAGCGGACCCAGCTATCTCGAAGCCTGGAACAGGTTAGGTATAATTACGCAAAAATTATGTCATCATTACCAAGTTAGAGCGGAAACAAAAAAAATTCTCCAAATGCATTTCGAATTCGCACATTTCTATTTCGTTCTTATTCATTTGGAATTGAAACGATAAATACGTCCATTAGTGTACGCTCCCGTAGTTCCCTCGAAAAACCATACCCGATTCCAGACCAAAATGGGCAAAGTGTTTTCAGACCAAAAAGGCCCAAAACCCCTACCCTTCCCTTATATAAGGGAGTACCCCCCTGATCCTAACCCCTTTCATGATTGTTAGAGACCGAGACAAGGTCTAAAAATGGGTGAAGAAAATAGCATTTTGATCCGGCTCATGATTCAGAGAACCGGGCGGCACACCTCCACCAAGAATTTATAGGAGTATTTACAACTTTAACTCACGTGTCTTGCTATTTAGCGATCTTTTGATCTTATTTTTCCTTACCTAGAACCAATTAGCACTGTTTTTACCAAAGTAGTCCGTGGTCCGTATTTTATACCCAGTCCGCAGTCCGCAGTCCGCGTTTTATACCTAGTCCGTGTTTTGTACCCAGTCCGTATTTTCCAGTCCGCCTTTTATACCTAGTCCGTATTTTATACCCAGTCCGCAGTCCGTAGTCCGCAGTCCGCAGTCCATCTTTTATACTGACCGATTACATGTGACCTTTGCTGCAACGCAGTCATTCGTTCTAACACACTAGCCATGCGAACAAATTACTTTTTCCCTCTTCCTCCCCTTGCCCTTTCCTCTTTCCTTATTTGCATGAAACCATTGCTAGGGCGTTTTTATGCCCTCACCTTTACTAGACATAAATGTTTACCTTTGTGATTTAGAAGTGTTTTGAAATAATTCAAAGGAAATTAATTATTCATTAAATAGGCTTAGGGCCAAATATTAATTCGATTAGTTTTGGAACGGAATGGTTAATGCGACTATATTTGCTACTTATCAATAAATGAGATCCCTGTGTATTGAAAAATATTGTTACAGTATTCACCCTAACGATGACATAGCTTAGTCACTGTTGAACTGTGTACACTACGACAAAACAAAAATCTTAACCGTTGTTAAACTTGCACGCGCGAAACTTTGTTTGTGCGTTTCAATACCTTACAATTCGCACTCGCTACAGAAAACTTCGTCAAATATTGGCCGACAAATAATTAAGACTCATTACAAGAAAGTCTATCACTGCTTTATCTAATGAAAACCAAAAAAGACTGTTTCACATAACCTTTGTCACGCAATATTTACGTTAGTCCGTTAGCGACATGCGAAAACTCTCAACTGTTCAAAATCGGGGATTCCCTAACATTTTCTCTTTTCACATTATTCATTACACCTTGTTTTCATCTCTAAAGAATATTTGCAATAAAAAAGATTTTCATGTCGCCCGACAAACTTGTTGATGAAAACGACCCTTCCACGTGGGTTGCCAAGACAAAAGTGGCCCCGGTAAAATTCACGAAGTGATTCTTGTTAGATAAGTGACAGTGGGCGTTTATTAGATCGCTTACGGTAAGTGCCTTCCGGTTCAACAAGATGCTCAGTTTGTAACGCTAAATAGTAAAATCCATATCCTGCTTAGCGGCCCATACCCATCTAGGCCAACTAAGGAAGTGCCTGGATGACTTCCGTCAATACAGGGTATAATAGTGATACCGGTAAAAACGCGATTGCAATAATTTATTTTCAAGTTTCTCAAGTTACCTGAGATCAGGCTTTATTTTGTTTTGCCTTTTCAAAATGTGCTTGGCAATTTAATACCATGAGCCTAGTGTCACGTCCAAGCGTGACACCCGACAAACATCATTGTCTGTCATTTTGTAGCTCATTGTAGGGCTTATTTTAACTCATTTTAGCTCGTAGCAGCTCATAGTAGCTCATTGTAGGTCATTTTAGATCATTGTAGGTCATTTTAGATCATTGTACGTCATTGTAGGTCATTGTAGATCATTGTAGGTCATTCCTTGTTTTAGTAACTACGAATTCACTTGACACGTTTCGCAGGCCTAAAAAGGCATTTAAACCTGCCAAGAGGCCTGAAACGCAGTCAGCACGTGAATAAACACAATAAAATCCTGAATGTAAGCTTTTTGCTCAATTATAGTGAAAATCGTTGTCGTATGAATAATTAAATAGCATCCTTAAAATCCGGAAAATTAATTTTTCCGAGAAAATAAAATAGAAATTAACTTTTTTCAGGAGCTCATGCACCACGAGCTCCTGCGTTTTTAAAGAAAATGAAGACTAAAACTCAAAATTCACAAAAAACCTAATACAGCTGTTTTTTTGGCTGTATTTATGAACTTGTACACGTTGTCGTTGTTACTTGCAACTTTTGCACGTTTTTGTGAGTGTAAACTTTGAAATTAATTAAAAAAACCGTTTGTATAATGAGCATTATCCCAGCATTTTAGTGACTATTTTGGGGAGACCGAGCATGTTAGTGGGAAAAATGGAGATTCAAGGTGGAGCATTTTAGTGGGGAAGCAAAAGCATAATGTACAAAAGCCTACTCGTAGGTACTATCGACTTAAACAGGCCAGGCCCGACAAGGAGACGTTCAGTTAAAGGTATGTTAGCATTATTTTGTTGTATTTAGACTTCCATGCTATTTTGGTTCGATAACAGGATTTTTAAATGTGGCAGCTCGTAAGGACTGTCACACTGAGAAATTTTTTTTTTTTTTTTGGGGGGGGGGGGGGGGGGGGGGGGGGGGGGAAATCGCTTCATTTTTTAGATTATTTATATTCTTTTTTTTTTATTATTTATTTTCGGCAATTCTTTTTTTTTTGTTATAAAAATCAACCCGCTTGGTCTGTTGCTTTTTTCC